ACCCATCCTTGTGGTCATGAGTGAGCAGAGCAATTCAGCAACACAAGTTCAGCTGCTGATCCGCGCAAGGGAAGGAATACGGCCCGCGCTGATCCCCATCAGCCTTAGCATCGTCAATGATCCCTCTGCATTCTGATTCATTCTTCAGACAGCTACGCTGATCGAGGCGCAGTCAAGCTGTTCCATGATCACAAAATCTGGTCGTTTCATGGCGACCATGTTGGATCCGTCGATAGCTGGACGGACGACCTTGCTGTCTAGAGTGATCAATCAGTCTGAGTGATGGGGCGCATCGGCGCAGACACGTCCAAAGTGGCCCGGTTGAGACCTGACAACCGGTCGAAATCGTCCGAGTGAGACCAGTGCAGCTCGACGTCAGAACCGGGCCTCCCCGTCGAAGCTCGACCAGCTATAGCGTCGCAGGACAGCTGGCTGCTGCTGTTGCTCGAGGTGAAGGTGCTGCCTGCTTCTCGTGGGCTCGGCGACTGTTCCGACCGTGATCATCTGCCCGAAACTAGATCCAGCTACACCGCGGGCGTCAGAGCGGTCAACAGGCCGACGATAGTCCTCGATCAAGACTCGTGGGGTACCCGTTTCCCATTCATCCACGCAGCAGTGCCGGGCGACTCGCCCAACACGGACGTGCCGCGGCTATACAGTACAGTATGTACACGCAGGATTCCCGCACTCGCAGCAATAATAATACTCAATGCTGTCACTGCGTGTGCGTGCATGTGTAGCTTATGCCTCGCAGCAACTACTCGAGCGCTGCTTTCAGAGCCGCCGAGGCGCGCAAATGCAAATGCAGTGCCGCCGCTTGCTGCTTGCTCCCTCGGTCGAACAAGTCGAATCTGACCTGAGATCTGACCGAGACTCCCGGCGAGACTGCTGTCAAGCCTACAATAACTGCACACAAGCCTGCAGCCCTAGACCGGTTCCGATTCTGGAATACTGTCTGTCTCCTTTCCAAATTCGAGTGGCTGCGCAGCCAACCAGAGCTAGGCGCCGACCGTCCTCGAAATGGGCGCCGTGCAGCTTGCGCAGTTGTCTGGCCTTGCGCCACGACAGCATAGCTAAGCTCCTGTGGATTTGGTCCCGCGAGCGCACTCGAGGAGCCTTGGCAGCGCCGGTGTGATTTCCCTCCTTGTCAGCCCACTGGTCGACGAGCGATATATGTCTACATCTCCACCTGATTCGTGCTGCCACACGACCTATCTCCTCAATCTCACCATCTACCACCCAAAAAGACACTCGACGCCCGACGCCGACCATAATACTTCAAAAGCTCCCTGTCTGACCTGGCGTCACTGAGCACAAAAGTCCACCCCGACAATCCATTCGAGCCACACCGTACAGCTCAATCTGCATTTACCGCGATTCCTTCCCGTCTCGCAACCCAAAATACAGTCGCAACCGCACTTGTGACTTCATCAAAAGCAGCCTTCCCATCGGCGACTGCCCTTCAAGTAATCCCAAAAGCGCGTTCGACTTTCTTGTCAACGTGCAACGTCGTCTTGTCGACGCAAAAGCCACAAAACAGTCATCGCCACTGTCTGGCCCGAAACTACGAATCACCTATCTGGGGTGAATCGACATCAACACCCTCTATCGTCAATCACATCACCTCGATCTCACCGCTCACAATGCCGGCACCCATCGCAATTTCCCAGACCCAGTCTCATCTGGACTCATTTGGCGCTCCACGGTCAAGCGATATGACACCCGGTGTGAGTGCTAGCAACGTACCCTACCCGACACCTGGCAGCGCCTCCTACCGTGAAGCAATGGCCCTCTCATTTGGCAAGGATGTGGCAGAGTGAGTGTACCGCCCATCTGCATTGCTTTTCACTGCCTCACACTAACCCACAAACCTGTTCTTAAGTGTCATGGACTACTCGATCGCAAGTTTTTCAACCTCTACCGACTCCACAGCCTCGGACGCTACTGCGCTGCCTTCCACCTCCGTTTCGCGCAAGCTTGACACCACATTTTGCCGCAACTTCACCTGCTGTGGCAAGGCTCTCGATGACCTTCATGACCTGCTGCAGCACTACGAAGAGCGACACGTCCGCTGCCAAGACGACGACTTGCCATCCATGACGTCCGACGATGACTACTCCTCGCAATCATCTGCTTCGCAACCGCCCAGCCCTCGCTCTAGCTGCCACCACGATGCTGACGACACCTCCGCATTCGACATAGCCGTTATGCGATCACCCTTCCAAGCGAAAGGCAAAAAGCGCAGCTTCGGTCAATACAGCAGCTCTCACAACCCCACCCACCAATCCCTGCGACGTGCATTGATCGATGGCGGCATCGGCAGACGTCAGCCTCAGATCTACACTGCCAATTCGCCTTTTTCCACGCCGGACAGCTCCGTGCCTGGCACTCCAATCGGCGAAAGCGAGGCAGATGCTGCCTTCGTTGGTGGCATGACACCTTCCTTCTCATCAATGACCATCCGCAACGGCTTCCACGACGACCACAACCTGCCAAGCTGCGCCCCGCCCAACCTGTTCTTCCCTTCTGGCGGTTCAGCTTCTCAGACTGGCCACGTGCAACCTCCCATGAAGCGCGAGCGCGTCGACTCGATGGGCGGATCCATCTCCCCTTCAACTGCTCGCGTCATGGCTGATGCCATGTCCGAGGGCGAGCTCAATGGCGCAGGCGGGATCTTCGTTGAGAAGCCCTTCAAATGCCAGATACCTGGTTGCGACAAGGCTTACAAGCAAGCGAACGGCTTGAAGTACCATCGACTTCACGGGACCTGCAATCAAAACTTGCTTCCGTTGAACCAGCAAAGCATCAATGGCAGTCATCCAAACAGCAGGGCTTCTACTCCGTCTGCTCGCACTGCCATGAACCCTGACGGCACATTGTGCGATGGGTCTACGCCACCTAGTCCAAGCTCAGCCGCCGCTATGGAGATCGCCGCCAGCAGAATGGAGAAGCGTTACGTCTGCCAGGTTGGTGCGTGCGGCAAGCACTTCGGTTCCATTTCAGGGTTGAAGTACCACTACACGCACTCTGGGTCCCACGGTCTACTCGGCATGGCGTTGTTGTCTGCGAACGGCGGAGGGGCTAGCGCAAGAATTGAAACGTCAACTGGACGACCGCTGGTCAACACCAGCACGTTGACCAGCGAGCAGCTCGCCGCTGCAGCTCAAGCGGCGCTAGCTGCGCAGACAGCGCAACAGAACGCTGCTCAAGCTAAGGCTATGGCGACCCCGCAAACCAGCCCAACGGCGTCGCCTGCTCCCATCATGTCCACCTCGCCCAAGACTTCGCCAGCTCAAGCATCACCGACTTTGGCATCTGCGACCAGTGTACTGGCAAGTTCATCGCCTGCTACGATGGCTTCAACCCTCGCACCGGCGCCGTCCACAGAGGCTGTTTGATTGCCAATCTTTGAGACAGTCTTTCCGGCTACTCTACGTGTGCCATCGTCGCAACCCTGTACAAAATTGTTCTTGCCTTGCCAGCTGTTGCCAGTCATTGTTCTACAGCGAGTCATATCGCCATGCCAGCTAGCTGCCCAGCCGGCACTGCTCTTTTCGAAACCTATAGACGCTTCGGATACCTCTTGTACGGCACTGTCAGCCCATTGTATACTGGTGCCCATCACCACGGCTCCGAAGTCACCCATTCTTCCGATGTTCTTATCGCGACTTGATTCTGTCTCCATATCATACATTATCCACCACTTCTAACGCCGAGAACATGCACGTTCAGTCCGCCTTTCCCCCTTCACCAACTTTTGGCATGAGCTGGTCTCGACCGGCTCTACGCTCCAATGGTTGCCTAACCCTCTTGTGTCTTCATGTCGTCTTGCCTCGATTTGAGTCTTGTGGCCCCATGTAGATTCCTGCTTTTTCCTCTTGCGTCTTTGTTAATAACATTTCACTTCTCAACGTTGAAATATGTCGCTTTACAGAGTCGTCCCAACCTTTCCTTTGCAATGCCGAGGCCTGGCTCAGGTCCGCCTCGAGCAACCGTCGACCGCTGTCGATTGACTGCCCATCATCTTTGGCGTAGCGGGTCTTGGCATGAGAACCTTTGCTGGTACGCCGCGCACGATTCCACGTCTCGATCGACGACGGCCCGCGGGTTTGTGCCTGGGTTTCCATACAGAGGCCGCTTTAGGGAACTGTGCGACGCTTGACAAGTTGTCTCCTGTTTCGTCAGGTTCAACACCGTCAATCAATTTGCCGAAAGCTTGGAGATCCACGCTTCCATCGTCGTTGCCCCCCCTCCTCTCCCCTCCCCTTTTTATTTCGCGTCGGCCCGCGTCGGCCGCGAGAGACAATGAATGATAGGACGGTGTTTGAGCGACCTTTACACGGGTATACGGATCAATGTGGCAAAAGACGCTTCGGTCGGTGGATCTCGGTGCCTTTGAATGCGCGGCGCTGATTTTCAATCGCAATCTTGGAAGCTGGTCGATCGAGGTGATAGGTGAGATCGAGGTTTCGATTTTGCGGCGGTGGCTCGATCGTTGCATGGCTCTGCCACGGATTTACTCGGAGTCCACCACGGTCCAGGACAGCTCGTCAAAGGACAAAAGTGAGCATGACGAGGAGGTTGCACTCTATGCATTCTGATTCGCGCGCTTGCGACGAGACCGAAAGGGACTTGCTGGAGATGGACCAGTGCTCGTTCTGTGCTGATGATGTCTTGTGATATCAGATGGGACACCCATCGTGAATCAGAATCCAACCCGCGAGCTGCTGCTGATGGTTTCGCCGGGCCGCATAAGTGCGTCGAGTCACGAGTGGCGGCGACGCGCAGCATACAGCAGCAGGAACACATCGCGTCGCATCGCCCGCGGGGTCCGCGCGAAGATTCCCTATCCTTCAGCAGCAGCTGCTGCTGCTACGTGCTGACTAGCTGTGCCACACATCAGCACAATCACTGAACACCGACGCCACGCCGTGCCAAGCGTGAGCGATGATGTGGAAGATCCGCAAAAATGCTGCTTGCTGCGTCAAGATTCGACCGAGACGAGTCACAAAGTCAGCAGCCAGATGATGCTATCCACACTGTGACTGTGACTAAACCTCACGCACAGCACACTACCACTCGCGACTATACTGCTATCTTGGTATAAGAAGACGCGTGTCATCGGTACGCGTCGAGTTCCCTTGCCCCGTTCCATCCTCTCTATCCGTGTTCAACACCTTCTACACGCCCACCTCTCTTGTGAGCATTCGACATCTCAGCCAACACATCATCTGCTCGACATCCCACAGAACATCATGGCACCCACAGCTACGAACGGAGCCGACATCGCAGCGGTGGCCTCGGCAGAGGCAACGGCGAATGGGCATGGAGCGAGTGCAGGCAAAGCAGCGCAGCTGAGCCATTCCCATGGCAACTCTTCCGCTCGAGGCAAGACATCGAGCGGTGGAGTAGACATCCAGTCCATGTTGTCCGAAGCTGCGCTTCGTCGACCTCCTTCCGCCATCCGTTCGCTGTTTCCAGCAGAACTCATTCCAGGCATGTTATCCTTCCTAGCCGGCAAACCCAACCCTTCCACTTTTCCCATCGATGCCGTCTCCATCAATGTCAAGCCCACACCTGGGGCGCCCGAGCAATCCACGCAGCAAATTTCTGTCAGCGGAAAGGACCTGGAAGCGGGAATGAACTATGGTCCGACAGCGGGTATCAAGGGTCTGAACGATTGGCTCGTCGCTTTTCAGACCCGCATTCATGGCAGAGAGATGGTGCAACAGCAGGCGCACGGCAAAGCGAAGTGGCGCGTGACTGTCGGAAACGGCTCGCAAGATCTGCTCACCAAGGTGCGTTGAGATCGCACGACGCGCACGCTGATGCTGCACTCGGGGCCTTGCAACTTTGCAGTCAGCAGTCCGCCTTCATCTGCTGATACGCAGTCAATCCCGCTACGCAGACCTTCACAGCGCTCCTCAACCCAGGCGACTCCATCCTGGTCGAGAGCCCAGTCTACACGTAAGTCCTGAAGAGTCGCAAAGCACCTCTTCACGGCTGACAAGCTCCTAGCGACTGGTTTACAACAGCGGTATCCTACCACAATTGACTGTGGCTCAGGCCTTCATGGCCCCGGTTCAGTCAGACGCCGAAGGCATGTGCCCAAAGTCTCTGCTCTCAGTCTTGTCCAACTGGCACACCGACGAAAAGACAAAGTCTCATCCTTTTCCAAAGTTCGTCTACACGGTACCCACTGGAGCGAACCCAGCGGGCACAACTGCCTCGGAGCAGCGCAAGAGGGACGTGCTCTCTGTGGTAAGACGATTCAATGTCTTGTTGTTGGAGGACGACCCGTATATTTTCCTCAGCTTTGAAGGTCTGGGCCAGGACCCAGTCACGCGCAAAAGGGTCAGGAGCTACTGGGATTTGGAAAGGGACGAAAGCGATGCGCTGGGCGATGGCTTCGTCGTGCGCTTCGACAGCTTCTCAAAGGTGAGCTACGGCTTCTTACAAGCAATACGAGGGGAGACTAGAATTGACCTCGTCAGTACTGGCATTTCTCTACACCTCTAGATCATCGGCGGAGGTTTAAGATTAGGCTTCATGACGGGTCCCGATGCACTGATAGACGCAGTCGACCTCGACTCTTCGTCTGCGAACTTGCAACCCTCAGGATTAGCGCAAGCGGTGATTTACAGGCTTTTGCAGCACTGGGGCCCCGAAGGCTTGTTGCGTCACGTAGACTCCGTAGCATCCTTCTACCAAGCTCGTAGAGATGCTTTCGAAAGGCACGCTCAGAAGATTCTGGGCAGTGCAGGTGGCAAGGTGGCGGTGGCGGAGTGGGTCACACCAGTAGCTGGCATGTTTCTTTGGTTGAAGCTCAAATTGCCACCTAGCGCAGCTTCTGTTCAAGCTGGCACGCCGGATCAAGGAGACAGCTTTGCGCTCATCACTGAGAAAGCAAGGGCAAAGGGCATCCTCGCTGTGCCTGGGATCGCTTTCTTGCCAGGATCGGACGCTGATACGCCCACGCCATACGTGCGCGTCAGCTTCTCCATTCTCGAGGAGGAACACTTTGCAGAGGCGTTGCAAAGGTTGAGAGCCGTAGTGGAGGAGGCTCAGAACGAGTCCAAGTAGAGTGCTTGCACAGCATTCGAGTGCTCATCTGCCGCGAAGGTTCTTTGTACAAATATCATTTTACACTGCCCAGAGTCTGGACGCTGTAGCCCCGCTTAGATTGCATCGCAATAGAAATCGCTGCATATGCTGCAGCCTTTGCGTTTCTCGGTGCGCGATCTCGATTAAAGGAATAGGCTGTGCCGAAGCCGAGTTCGAAGGGACAGACTTTAGCGGGTCCGTGGTTCCATTCCCGGTCTTCGACAAGTCTTCAAGCACTCACCTCTTCTCACGCAAAGCCCTCCAGCCAAACATTTCCCACTCCTCCTTGAACACCCACAGCTCGCCAACACTTTCCAGCCTAGCCAAGACGGCCGCTCCTTTGCTGGCTAATATTCTTGGGTCCATATCTCGAGGAGAGGGAATGACGGTGGCAAGGGGTGCTGAATCTGCATCTTTTTGCAATTCTGTAGCTGCCCAGCTTTCCAGGTGCGTATTGAGCCTGATGTGCGTCACAAGGAGCAAGCGTGAGCAACGTAGCGATCACGAGAAGGCGAAGCCAAACGCCTCGTTCAGGAGTTTGGCGCCCGCGCGCGCACACACACTCACCTCGCTTCGAGAACTGCACCCAGACCAGGAATAAGAGCGGATCCTCCTGTGCAGAGGATGTTTCCAGCCAGCCTCTTTATCCTCTCCTCGGCAGCAGCCGGCGAAAGCTGCGAAGTCAGGCAAGATTTGATAGAGTTCCAAAGCGCCACATCCAGAGGTACCTTGGAAGCTTCAAAGGGCACATCTATAGCTGCTATGCCTTGACCTGTGCCTGCGGCCAACGACGAGGTAGCTGCTGGGGCGTTGCCGCCAGCAGCATTCTTGGGCAAAGGCGTGTCGGCGCGAGACGTCTCTGCTCCACCGTTAGCCTTGGTCTCTCCCCCCTCTTCCGATTTGGTCGCGCCCGCTATGCCTTCTTGGTAGTTGGGGAGCAAAAGGCTTTGCATACCAGGTGGCATGGGACTAGCGCTATTTTTGTTCGCACTCGCAGCCGGGGTTGTGACTGTCGCTGCAGCTGGGTGAGCGGAGGCGATGTTGCTGGTAGTGCTTGCTGACCTTTCCATAGGTGCAGCGTCGGCTGTGCCCTCGGTCGCGGTATTGACGACGGGAACGGGAAGGAGATGTTGAACGCAATCCTTCATCGCCTGTGTGATGGCGACATCTGACCCAGAGCCAACAGCCACCCTCTCTCCTTCATCCCTCTGTTCCCTCGAAATGTTCTCCATCGTCTTTGGCGCTAGATGCTGCTTGCTCTTAAAGTCTACAACTCGAGGGCTAAAGAGAGCCATGGGTGCTAGTATGACTTCGTCATAAGTCCTTACGGTGTACTTCACAGTCGGCTTGCTTGGAAGGCGCAAGTAGAACTCGGTGATGGTCAGTCCCAGTTGGGTGGCGTCTAGAGTCGAAAGGCGATGCTTGAGATCATCGATGAGCCAGCGATCAGCTAGTCGACGATCAGGATCCAATTCCGCGTAGGACAATTTGGCGGCTTTGAGGAGCTGAGCGAAGAACAAGGAGACGTCTCTGCCTCCATATGCGAGCGAGATTCTGCTTTCGGGATAGACCAGACCTTCGTCGATGCAGCTGATAGCGATTCTTTCGCTGCCAAGATGAACCACGCATCCGCCGGATTGGCCTGCTCCGAATGTCGCGCACACGCTCTCTTGCTGTACACAGATCGCCGCAAACTTCAGATCGCAAAGGAGCAGATCCACCAGCTGCTCCACGTCAGTCGGGCTGTATAGATCGGGCACGACGAGAACGGCGCTGTAAAGGTGCAGGTCCTTTGGAGATATGCCCAAGCCTTCCTCCGCATCTGCGAGTGTCTCCTCATTTGAAGCGCTTTCCGATGCATCGCGAGGCAGACTAATAGCATGAAGAAGGATACTCTGTATGTCTTTGCTGAGCGCCGATGAAGCAGCCGATTGACCATACCGCTCGACATATGGCTCGATGTTGAGCCGGCCTGCTCTGAAAGGCCAGAAGAGCTCCCACGGTCTGTCGACGGGCTCATCGTTTGGATAATTGCCGCTAGAGTACTGAGGCAGTCGAGTCGCTCTTTGGCCCAGGATTGTGTCCGTCTCCTCGTCTACCACCATTGTCCACTCCACACCAGTCACATCCGCATGGCCCGGTATGTTTTCGCTACGCGCAGATTCGTTGTACTGTGCTGCTAAACCGCGACCATTTGTCACTGGCCTCAACTTCATCGCCCGCATGATCTTTCGCAAGTCGGTGCGGAGGACGTCAATCTTTTTGCTCAGCTAGACATGTTCGCACCAAGCGTCATGACTGTCAGCTCTGATCGACGCCTATGACGGTCGCAACACTCACAGAAGACTTGCGCGTCCCATCCACTTCCATCTCCTCCTCCTGAGCATTACGATTAGACGAAGAAATAACATCCTTCTCGGGCTCAGCGCGATCTTCCTCAGCATCTTCTCCTTCCAGCTTCATGCTGGGCAGAGTGCTCTTGATCGGTGCTCTAGGAGGTGCGCCTATTTTATCCCTGCGCGCAATGACATTGACCAAAGTTCTTGGGAATAGGTCAGTAGCAAGAGCTATCCGCAAAGACGTGGAGCTTGGATGTATGACGATCGTCTTGGAGGCCGGGTTGATGTCCTGGCTCGGCGACACAGAGATGGTGAATCGGTGGAGTTCTGCCTAGGCATGGATGCAGCACGAATTGGGGACTTACCGCCTCATCCTCCTCTTCCTCATCGGCATCATCGCTGTTCTCGTCTTCCAATCCAGAAGCGGTTGTGGAAGCAGCTCTTGATCTATCCGCATCCTCTTTATCCGTCGCCCTTCTCCGCTTGCGGCCCCTGCTTGCTACCATACCAGGTGCCAGAGGCCCAGGATTGTTGAAGCCTCTACGTGCGGACCAGGATTGAGAATCGTGTTTGAGAAAGGTGGTGGATACGTCTAAGGGAGGTGTGTGCAAGGGGTGCAGAAGATGGCCATGTGAGCTTTGGGTGATGCTTGCTAAGCATCGATCATTGCGACTCACTCTTGGCGTTGATGGGTGCAGGCACTTGAAAAGATGTGAATGCCAATGGCAAGTCCCTCGTTTCGTCAGCTGGAGGAGCTTCCACCATCGCCTTCTTGACCGGCTTCCTGCCCGAAGAAGCAGCAGCAGGCATCTCGACCCTCGCAGCTTGCTTGTGTAGATGCGCGACTTGGCATCCAATGTGAATGTGGTGTTGCAGATCGTTTGAGAAAGGCTGTGTAGCGAGGGGCGAGCGTGGTGGACAATTGGTCGACACTCGACATTCTCGATGACGGTGGTGATGCAACTCTCATCCATCTGTCCACTGACTCGTGACTGGTCACTCTCCAGCGACATCCTGCACGGCTCTTTCATCCTTAAGGGCACCGGCACCTACAGTCGTGAGTACATGTACCTGCCAACACGACTGGCTCAATCTGAACACGTGATGCGTCGGGATGGCGAAACCGGTTGAGGCGCTCCTCCACTTTCGCGCACACACCCTGTGACTGCTGCTGCATGCCAAGAAGGCGCAAGAATCCCCCGCTCGCTCGGCCGGCAAGGACGACGATGTGGTCAGGGGGAAGGAGCCACAAGGACTTTCTGCCAACCCTTCTACCTTCGTCCACAATCCCCTCCATCATCATTCTCACGCTCCTCCTCTTCAACGAAAGCATCCGATCCGCATCGACGGTAAGGCAAGGCAAGCGAGACCCTGACTTGATGCGCCTGGCTCCATCCCAGTCGTATGCATGCAGGTACTTGGTACTTCCTTGCCCATCCACGCTCATCTGCATGGACGACCAAGCATCCAAGGCGCATCGAGCGAATTGGGATTGGGCTCTTGGAAGAGTCTATGACATACCTCCGGACTCGCGGGATGCTAGCTCCCCGACCGATAGCGCTGGAAGGAGTACATCTGTGCGAAAGGTGGGACTAGCGAGCACGCATGGCGGTGCAGCTAGTGCTGGAGCAGCAACTGGGTCATGCGAGGCTCAGCAGCTCGACGGCCAATCGGGCGCGAGCAGCCAACTGCTCAAGGAAGAGCAAAGTGGCAGGCGAGTCGCTGAAGATTCTATCCTGAAGCATCACGCTGCTCTGCATGCCGCACTCGAACCTCTGCAAAAGGTGCCATTGCAGCTTGTTGATCTCAGATCGGAGCAGGTGGACGCGGCGGCAGCGGCAACGACGCAGAGGTCACATCTGCTCAGAGCTGAGCGAAAGCTTGAAGAGGTGAAAGCGAGAGCAAAGAGAGGTTTCTTGAGAAAGCTCAGAGGTCCTTCGCATGCTATGAAGTTGGAACTAGAGCTGGTGAGTACCTCCAGTCACCCTGGTCGCTGCGAGCGTTGGCTAAAACGCGCCCCTCGACTGCTTTGGCTGTTCGTCACCAGGGTGAGAGAGAATATCGTCCATTAAAGGACCATCTGCAAGACATAGAAGCCCGCATACATTCGCTCAAGAGCGATGAAGATGCTGTGATGAAGCTTGAGCAGAGGCGCCTTTTGCTCGTCACTGAGATCGATGCGTAAGTGCGGAGGTGCCAATGGTCAGAGCTTGTCGGCGGCGCGCCAGCACCTAGAGGATTTGGATGCTGAGCCATTGAGGGTGCCTCATTCCGCAGTATCAATGGCACGATCTTCATTGGCACGACGCCAGGTAAGGCTATTGAGGAGGCCAAACCTTCCTGACCTCACTTCGCTGACATGCCCGTTTCGACGACGTCCAATTTTGAATTTGAGCAGGCTGGCCTGAACAAGACGTCGCCGAGATGAATTATCTTGTGCTCAGAGAGGCTTCAGATCTGCTCAGATCGGAGCTGCCCCGAGAGGCGCGAGCGAGAACAAAGCTCGCTCAAGCTCAAGCGACGTGCGCTGAGCTCGTCAAAGAGCTTCAGGGTGCCCTTCAACATGGCATAGACCTTGGCGTTGCTTCAAACACCAAGTACACGAAGCAGGTAGGTGCTCAATGATGGTAGCGGGAAATCTCAAGCATTGAAGCGAGCTGAGCTCTTCTATACGCTTGATTCTTTCGCGCTTTTTCCAGATCGGCAGAGGTAGTTCAGCGATTGCAACGGCTCGAGGAATGGAGCCTCGGGTGAGGACGGCAAAGACGCTGGGCGGAAGAATGTACGAGAGAGGTGCAGAAGCTAGATCGATCCAGCCGGAAATCAGGCCCATCGGCAAGCTAGAGATTGTAGAGCTGAACAAGCTTCCCGGCAGAAAGCACAAGGGCGCCTTGTCAGAGACCGTGAGCAGTTTCGTGCGCTCAGCGTAGCGACCCAGTCTTGCTCGTTTCATAGCTGACGATGGTGATTCTTGCTGTGCGCCCACCACCGTTCATGGCGTTTCGAATTCACTGGTGGCGCAGGACCTTTATCATTCCGTCGAAGCTTCTTATGCTCAAGCCAGACACTGTGCGCAGCACATGGTGTACAGTCTTCGCGCCTCGCATGCGCGCGAGAAGCAAGCTCGAGCACTTTTGCGTTCCTTGGACGCAGAAACGTCCGAAGCGTGCGACTCGTTGAGGGAAGTGAGGAGAAGCATCGTTCGTTCGGTGCTCGACGCATCTTCGCCTTCTAGCTCCGCAACATTGGTCTCCGTCCAGCGCTCGGAAGAAGAGGATGTCGAGTGTAAATCGCAGATAGAAATTGGAGCTAGAGCAAGATTGAGAGCTATCCTTCTTGAGTGTGCAGAGGCTGGCAGAGCCGTGGATGCCCCGCCGGAGGACGAGGATGGCGCTGGTTGGGAGCTGCTCACTTGATTCGGTGTCTAGGATTGGTACAAGCTGCTCCAGCCCTCGACAAATGCAATACCCCTTGTTTGTACAATCGACGCTCGCACGATCTGGATCATGAGCAAAAGTGGTATGATATTGCAACAAGGGGAGTGTATGTGTATGATTGTGTGTGATTGGACAAGGCAAAGCAGGGGAGGAGGGGTGGGGTGGCACGCGGGCGATGTGTGCAGGCGCAAACGCGGATGCAGGTGCAGGCAGAATCCGTATGCAGAAGTTACGACAATTTGGCAGCTGCAAACGCGGGGGGCAAAGGAGGGACAGGGGGAATGTCCTCCTTTGGCGCGGATGCCCTTTCGGCGAGATTGGGCACGCTCTTGCGCCTCTTCACAGCCCTGGCCTTTACAGAGCTGGAAGAAGCAGAGTCTTTTCGCTCTTCCCAGCGCGGACCGTCCCGTTTGGCGGCCTTTGCGCCCTTCTCCCCCGCTTCCTTGATATCGCCAGCAGAGCCGTATCCGCGAAGTGGAATCTTGTAACTACCGCTAGGAGCGACAGCTGCGCACAGCTCGTCGGCATCTTCGATTCCGTAGTTGACGAAGGAGATGCTACCGCCGCTTCTTGGAGTGGGTGGGAAAGAGGGACTGTCGAGGGTACGATATCCGCTACTTGCGCTACTCAATGTCATGGTGCGCGGCCTTCCGCTATTGAAGCTGCTGGCGGGACTAGTCTCCGTCGGCATCGTCGACGCGTTTGACGACGCGTGCAGTCGACGATTGCTCGCGATCTTGCGAGGCGAACGGGAAGGAGCATCTTGGTGCTGTTGCGGGTCGACAGAGCGAAGATTAGGTGCGCTCTTCGCTTTGTTCGGGGAGCGTGGTGAAAGAGGAGCGTGCGACGACTGGCGTTCTTTGTGAAACAGAGACGCAGGTGGATCAGGATATTCCGATGTGAAGGCGCCAAATGATGACGGATCGATCGCCTGCAGGCCGGTACTGGGACAGCTCGACAATCCATTGGTCCCAGGGAATGGCTGGGAGAGTCCTAAAGCATTGCTGCCAATGACTGCTGTATTCATGTTAAAGGGCACACCGTAAGAAGCAGCCATATCGCTAGGCATGGTGCTGACCCTGAATGCTGAAGACGCCGGCGAAAAATGATGTGAGGGCACCTGTGCTGAGCTCGGTGCAAGTGCGTGGACTGGCGAAATGGGTGTTAACAAACCCATGGAAGTGTACGCAAATCCAGATGACCCTGGTCCCTGCGGTTTCGATGCGTGATCCTGCCGGCCGCGAGGATATATCAGAGCAGCCTGGTTGCCGGCTGCTCGGACAGATGAGCCCTCCCCGCTCACACCGCTGTCTCCGCGGGGACGATGGGCACCAGTCTGAGCTTCTGATGCGATATTGCTTTGCAGCTGAATGACGCGCGATTGCTGCTCCGGCGAAAGCTGATCCCAGGTTTGGCTTAACGGAAACGTAGCCGTGCGTGCTTGACTGTGCTGCTTCGCGGGCAGAGGCGCAGCAGAGAGTGGCGTTGTGAAGGCACCGCTCAGCGTGGATGTCCCGATGGGTTTGGGAGCAGGCATATCACCTGCGCGCGAGGCGTGCGCACGGCGTTGGAACAGAGCGCCCACACCCGTGCTCGATTGAGCAGACGAGAAGGCGGTCGAAGACGAGAGCTCGAGCGCCGCGTCCGAATGTGGGTTTTGCGTTCGAGCCGAACCCACTTGATTAGGAGCTACAACGTTTCTGGCATCGAATGCCGCACACTGTTTCTCTCCGTCACTCTTCTGCGACAGATCAGCCCACGCAGACTGCGGAGCAGAGGTCATTGTGGTGTTCGGGCCAATTGCTAGCCTGAGCTCTGGTGGCGAAGCGACGGAGCAAAGCTTCGCAACGGTGGCTTCAGAAGTCGCCGCAGCGATCTTAGGAGCAGGTGCGACCAGTGTGACTGGAGTGAATATGCCGTTCGAGCCACCTCCAGATGCGGTGATTGCGTCGTTTGTCGCACCAGTGGTATCGTTGAAAGCGGTGCGGCGGACCCGTCTGAGCGATCTGCCATTCGAACTTTCAGGCCAAACGTCCTCGACCAGCGCTTCGTCATCCGATGCATCTGAGCTTGATCTGGTGTTGGACCTGTTGGGAACGTCATTCCACGCCGACATGGGAGGGCCCTCGACACTCAGATTTGGCGCGCTCGAAGGGCTGCCAGGCTGGCCACCGCTACTGTCGCTGTTGCTGCTGCTACCTTCCGAGAAGTTGCTCTGTCTGTCAATGAGCGCACTGCAAAGTGCTCCATGATCTGCGTTCGCAGCTGAGCAAATTCACGTTGCAGAAATAAGGTCAGCGCTGCTGTTTCGGATCAGTGTCTCCTCGATTGTACGCACCAAGCTCCCAAGGCCCAAAGGCCGAAGAACCGCCCAACAGCGGCGTCCAGCTAAAAGTGAAGGATGAAGTCTCCTCCCCAAGGTGCGAGTCTTGAAGCAATGGGCTTGCGCCAGTATGCATCGTGTCGAGAGCAGCTTCAGTGGCAACCTCGCTACTGTTTTGAAAGCCAAGCTCCAGAACTGATGTGTCGAGGATGGCGGGCGAGCGGTACAAGGCAGGTGTCAGATTGGTCTGCAACGCTTCTAGTCGAAGGAGCGGCGAAGAGGTGGTGGTAAGATTGTCAAAGGCTAGATGTAGTAGGCCCATACCACGCCTAAGGAGCGCTGCTGATCGAAGCTGAGGATAATGCGGGGGATGCGCCTAGGCTTCCGCGCAGGGATGATCTCGCTTTAAACGATTGCCTCCGTCCACGTTCCCCGCTCTCGAGCGGACAGACGTCTGACAAGAGATCTGTGCACAGGGCAGGCAAGGTACGTAAGTGAGCCATGACCAATTAGGATTTGGTTCCGCTAGTGAAGCACGGCAGGTCCGCAAAGTTCCCACACACGACTGCAGCTCACCGAGCCGAATTATCCGAACCCTTGAGTGCACCTGCAGCTCGACCTCCAATTACTCACCTGAGACTGGTGAGCTGATCAATGCCCTTTGCCGGTCCAACACTCCGATGGATGCTGAAATTGAAGATGGCGCTAAGACCGCTGGCCTGATGAAGCGATCAATGTACTCGATCGGGGACAGATCGAGCTGCTTGGTATAGCCGCCTGAAGAAGGCTAAGCGCAAGAAACTGCGATGCGCGTTCGAGTGCGTGCGAAAGAGTGGCGAAGGCAATGAGCGTTGAGCGAGTTGGACTGTGGCCGGGTCCTGCCTCGGCGCGAGTGAAGGTTGGTGCGGCAGTTACCGAGGGCAGAGCAGACGTAGCTCTACAGGGCTCTGATCGAACCCGCAGCGGCGGCGTCGACCTGAGACAAGATTTGCAGATGCGCACAGCGCTTCTGTACGATCCGAAGAGAATGATAAGATGGGGGGTGCGACCTGACGAGCAGATGGACAGGGGAGGCTAACGAATGAAAGAGTAAATGGGTGAGGCGAAAGGCTGGAGAAGGAGTAATGGCAATGGTGAGGGTGAGCGAAGTGAGACATGCGGTAGCAACGCATTGAGAGCGGGCAATCTCAACGGGTCCACATCGGCCTGTATGCGGCTTAAAGCCACCCCATTGCGGTCGAGGTTTGCAACGCTCGCAACAGCACAAGGTTCAGGCTTGGGTGGGCATGCATGCATGCGCATGACTAAGGGTGGAGAGCCCCCGTCCACGCAGCAATCATGCTTGCCGAATCTGCTCAATGGCGACCTTTGGCTCGGTTTCGTAGCGGAGCGTGAACATGGACACGGTCTCAGCGCGCCCACAAGCGTGAATCTCCCCGATTCTATGACCCTTTCTATGGATTATTCATGCTGAGCAGCCTGCCTGCAATAAGCCTGGACGATTGATGACCGTAGGTGCCTCTGCAGAGCACACGTTGCTGCGCTTGGTTCGGAGTAGCCGAGGAGGACCGAGTCGATCAATCTACGCGGAACTGTACTACTGCAGCGTACGCGCTTTTTGCGGCAAGGCATAGGCCTCTGCACATCATCTTGGTATCGGTCAGGGCAGTGTGCACCATCAGAGCGGTCTAGCCTTTTGCGGAGGATGAACGATTGGCTTGCAGAGCGCTTCCTCGCAGCAGGTTTGCCAGAGAACCTAACCTTGGCTTCGCTAGCGCGGGTGATGAATTCGCTTGCGGAGCGAATCTGCCTCAACATTATCTACTGGCGAGGGACGAGGGATGGTCCTTAGCGGTAGCTCCGTTATTGAGCCGGCGGAGCCATTGGCGACAAAACGGAGGTGAATGAGCTGACTGTCGTTCCTCTGAGTGCCTCAGTGCAGGCTGAATGTCAAGGCAGCTAACGTGCATCAGCAAGGTGGGTAGATCATTTGGTCACACTGGCACAGAGTTGGGAAGTGAGATGACGGGAGTCGTGATCTGCGAGCCGGTCGGGCCTCTTGCCTGATGCGTCTGCCACCTGAGACATGTCGTTTCGTTGACGCGGTGGGGCGCGCGGCGCAGACACGCGCGACGAGTCCAGCTTGAGTCTCGAGTCTGCAGCTGAGGCGGCAGCAGCAGCTACAGCGTCACGCAGGAGGAGCGTGCGCGTCTTTGTGACGGCTGCGGCTGAGGGCATTCCTGCTTCTGATGCCTCCCTCACATGCTCCCCATGGTGTGGCCGCAGGTGCACATGGAGCGCTTCTTTCAATCGTGAATCTCATACGAACGTAGATGAAACTCACCACGCATCAGACAGAAGCGGGCGAAAACCCCCCATTTGATGCGGACGTGAACAGATAGACGTGCACAGAGTCAGCTCACGAGTGTGACAGGTACGCAGGTCCGACCTGCTTCACACTTGAGGTGTCAGTCGTCTGGGTGTCAATTCCTTGTCGATTGTGCCGCGATGCAAGTTGGTCCGAGCAGGTACAGACAGTCTTGAAAACCTCGGCAACGTAATTATTATGGTTCGAACGCGTGTTGCCCTTCTACCGTGATCATCTGCTCTTGAGAAAGGCGTTCTTCGTCAGCAGCGAGAGGCCCGCCAATGTCGCCGACACCCGGCTGAGAAATCGCGACTGCCCAAAGGCCAAATGACCGACCTGGTCGCTTTGATGCCCCAATCCCGAAATACAGGTGGCGAGCTGGTGGCATGTCACCCTCGGCACCCACAAGTGGCGTCGACCGAGACATCCTTAGCGCAGATAGCGTGTGAACAGTATGACGGGCCTGCGGATCGACCTCGCACCCTGCAAGGGGAACGTAATCTCATACGTAAAGAGATCTCTGTCAGCACGTGCGACCATGACTATGCGATCTGCGGGTGTGTATCGACCGTGATAGAGGTTCGCATATCATACGATCTGATGGCCGCTTGTGCATGCTGATGATCTTGGCAAGGGACGAGGGACGACAGCCAAAGCACGACGGCTATCACAGCCACACGTTGACATTTCTTTGCTTTGGAGCGGCAAGCACTGGAGTCGAGCCGGCCGGCCGAACGTCTGTCGGCTTTACACCATACGATAGTCGATGAGGCTGCCGCAAATGTGAATCACACCGGTATAGCTTGCAGCTCATCTGGACAATGATGCCTAGCAAGGTGCACAACCTGTCCGGCTGCCTGCACAGCCTGTTGCTATTCGTGACTCCTTTCTCATCAGTAGGTCTATGCCTCTCGATCGAAGCGAATGGCCACGCCGTCGGGCGAGCGATCTGTCTCTCGCGCTGAGATCGATTGGAAGTGAGACTTTGAGCACACAGGCTCTTTCTAAATGCCGTGGTGGCCTTCGTCCTCCGCCCAAAATGCGATCTCCGCGCTTGCCCATCGTCGCTGTCTCCGCGTGCGCTCACGGCGCAAGCGCGCGGACTTGACCGCCGGCTCATCGCGGTCGCGTAGCCCGACCACCCTTTCAAATTCCGAGAGACATCTATCAGCAAGGTCCAGCACACTCCGACGATCGAGGTTCCCACAAAGCGACACGATCTCGTCTCGCAACGCCCACTTCACGCTCTCCGACCCGTTCCTTTCCTTCCATACTTCTCCCCTCCCCACCCGCTGTCAAGTCTCTCTCACAGCGGTCGTCTCGCGCCTGGATGAGCCTGTCGACGGACCTATTCGGCGACACGGGAACTCCCAGCGATCCTGTCAGACCCTGCGTGGGCGACGGTTCACACCGGGCTGGGCCTGCCACGCTGACGTTAGATGAGACCGTCACCACGGCAATCTGAGATCGGGTAGCAACGCCAGAGTTGCGTCAAGTGTGGGGTCTGCGCACCGAGTTGAGGCGCTCCTGGTCGCACCACACAGCAGTGCAACAGCCTACTCTCCAAGGATAATATCAAATTTGGAAAGGCTCACGTAGGAGCATGCTCTGACACCTGAATATCTGGTATAGAATGTGCCCTAGAGAGTCCAGACGCCGCGGTCTCGTTGGCCGAAACGCTGGGCTCGGGCAATGGCAATCCAAGACTGTCCTGCCTTTTTGGGTCAGCAGATCCACCTCCGCTGCCGCTGTATAATGGCGCATTCTTGCGTCGATGTCTCAGATCGCTCACCCCCGCTTGGGTCGCGTCTCGAAGACCAAGCTGACTCATTCGAGTTCTCTCGTCCTCGTCGTCCTCTTGCGTCCATTCTCTGTCAATTTCGCCACTATTTCTTGGCGAAGTAGATGACTTCACGCCTGGGTGGTGCTGTGCCAAATTACGATCATGCGAGCCGACCAGGCCTAGGGTCATTGTCGAAAGCCAACCGCGAGGCTGAGCTCTGACCCGATTCCTTGAGTGCGCTTGATTGCGCGCAGCCGCGTTCGAGCTTTGCGCGTTGAAGAGGCTTGACGTGAGGGTACCGGTCCTATTGTGTCCTTGGCCAGAGAGAACGCGGGAGATACGCTTGCCTCCCTCGAAGCTCGATCGGCCCGAAGAGGAGGCCTCATTGGGGGAATCTTGCTCCGAGTCCGAATGGAAGGTATCGTCCGGATCAGTAGCTAGCAAAGGTCGAACGTGTCGTTTCCAATTGCCTGACCAAGTCGATGTGGAGCGTTTCGTCTGGATCAGAGGCGGCTGTCTCTGACTCTCGACGGGAGATAAAGCTGCATTTGCAACCGAATTTGGTGCAGATCGTGGGTATTCCCACGACTTGAGGCCGCGACCTAGCACAGGCGAAGGCATCATAGTGAAAGTGGCGGGATCTGTTGGACTGAAGGGCGAGGGAGGGGGCGAAGGGATCCTTTCGCTACCCCGACCGTTGGGAGAAGTCGCACTCGCCAAAGCATCTGCACCGGGCAAAGGGACTTCGAATGGCGAGGGTAATTTCTCGAGCTCAGCAGCCAGCCAGCTCCGTTCTGGGTGCTTGCTCAGTAGACTTTCCAGTTGACGAGCCAGCTCTTCTGCTGTTCGAAATGTCAGACCGTTGCGACGATCCTTGACCAGCTCGTCCAGGCACGGAAAGTCAAGCGCGCAGACCGGCAAGTCGCAGCCCAGCATGTCGACAACCTTCATTGGTAGATCTAGAGCAGACGAAGATGCGTGCAGAGATACGCCAACGTCCGCAGAGCCTATTCGAAGGGAGCGCTTATTAGCCGCTTCTGAGCGCGGTTTGTGGTTGCGTCGTCCATTCTCTGCCCGCCTGACTCACCCAGAAGTACCGGATAGTCTGCAGCCTCCAACCACACCGTCCTGATGCGCACCCACTTCCATTCTTCAGCGGATTCGAGCCTGGCAACCTCTTGCTCGTATTGTGCGCGAAGCTCTCCCTTCCCCGTCACAAGGATCAATACTTTGGGCAGCATCTCAGCTGGCTCATTAGGCAGACGAGTAGGTCCAAAGGCTTCTTCAGCCGAGACGGAAGCTCGCTTCCTGCTCTTCTCTCGCATAGAACCAGAGGTGGAGCTGGCATACTCGACAGAGCCCGAGCCCGAGCCGGTTGCACGATGGCTTGAAGAAGAGAGCCTCCTTCGAGCTCTATCAAAGGCGTCGCCGCTGGCGATGGGCTCCTCCAAAGTGGGTGAGGAGGCAGATGTCTGGTTAGCCTCTGCTACCGCAACCAGTTGTCGCGCTCGACGCTCATAAATGCCAGCGGCCTTGAGCAAGATGGAAAAGTCCTCATCGGCTGTCCAGGAGGTGGAGCTCACCACGAGAGCGGGCCTGTCGTCCCTGAGCAGCGACTCTGGGGAAGAAGCCGCCTCAGGTGAGCGCTGAGTTACAAGCGCGGCGGCAGCTGTCTCCTCTCTCGCGGTCTCCTTAACTGAGGGTCCGCTCTTGGAAGTGAAAGGCGTTGTCCGTGGCAAGCTATGAGCAGGCCAGAAGTCGTCGCAGGATGGGCTGATCGTAGGCGCGAGCGTGGTCCAAAGCCGATGCGTCTCTTCCGGGTCCCTCTTTCGAAAATGAGCCGGCGGTCGGTCATACAATGTCAGCTTCTTTCCCTTTAATGCCCACTCTTGCGTGAGCCGTGTGCGCATGGCGTGGGTGACAAAGAGGTGTGCGTACGCATTTCTCCCCGTAAGCCTCTCCAAGTGACGCGCAAGGGCGACGAGGGGAGACTTGGCGCCCATGCGCAAGGCGAGAATGGTGTAGCCGAGGTTGTGCCAATCGATGATCACCCTTGACCGCAGTAGGAGCGAGGCGACTCTGACGACGAATAGCGTTGGCAATGCCGGTGGTGTCTGCAGATGAGAGCAGTGGATGACGGAAGTTAGTATATCACATTCATCCATGAGATGAGGTGAGTGAAGATCAGGACAAAGAGAAGACGCGCGATTTTCTCAAGAAAGGCTCACCTGGACAAGCAAGAGCTCAGGAGGTGGCTGCACTTGGGTTGTAAGCTCGAGGAAAAGGACAGCGCTCTGCCATAGCACCTTGAAAGGCGCAACAAACGCAAACAACAGCCTCGGTAGCCTCGCTATGTAAGCAGGTGGAGTTGCCAGATGGTGATGTTTTATGGATGATCTCCTCAGGTTTGCAGGGACAGCGACGCCTGCACAGGTTCCAGTGAGCGGTGAATACTTGAGCGCGCGCTGCTGGTGCTGAGCGGGACAGGATGCATCGGCACTCACCAGCATAACCGACAACGGCGACTCTCCAGCCCTCGTTTGCCAGACTGTCCACATGATTGCACATCCGCGGACTGCGACCAATGTCTCCCAACACCACCACTGCTGCACTCCTGCCCAAGCTAGATTTGCGCGTCGTCGAAGGCGCTCTATACAAGGCGACCCATAGAAACAAGAACAGCAGACCCAGCAAGGGTACCGAGATGAGCAGAAAGAGGAAGAGCAGAGGGACCAACATACTTCTCTCCGACACTGGCAAAGTTTAGCGTAAAGAAAGTGCTTACTAAAAGATTACGCGCTCGACCAGCGAGGCTTCACATGAGGCGCGAGAGCGAGAAAGCGGTAAACTCGAGATGCGTGTGTATGAGAATTGTAAAGTGCGAATGTGCTCGGGTGACGTTTGGGAAAGCGATTGAGAGAGATGCTCAGTGAAGTGGCTTGGGTCCCATGATAAGCTTGCGGCTGGTCTTGCTGACGGCGACGATGGTGACTGAGAAGCACATCATGAGCGGCGAGCGGCAGTCGAAGTCGGACGAAGCAAGCACGAGGCTCAACCCATAAATAACGCCTTTTGGCCCAATTTGAAGTTGAGATTCTTGATTGTGATTTGATTTTGACGTCCTCTTGCCTGCCTCGTTGGAGCGCTTTGGAGTCTGTCGTGCGAGATTCGCAGGATCGGCGCGGCGCGACTTTGCGTGGCTTGAGCGCTGCTGCTGCTGCTGCTGCTGCTGCTGCTGGGACCCTTGCAGGTTGTGATCACGTGCGCCGCACGCTGCGTAATCCTTCAGGAAGATCCAGCCAAAGAGGTGCTTCTGGCTTAGCTTTTGCATGGGTACGTATCCGCTTGAGCTCGCGTCTCCGCTCTTCTCATCATCGCATCGCTTGCTACTGCGAGTGAATGCCACGACTTGAGACTGAGCCCCACAACCAGCCGCGACGATCATGTCACAGGCTCAAACTCCCACGAATGGTTCGGATGGAGCGGCTGGCAAAGTCGCAGCTCCACCAAATTCCAACGGCGCAACCCAAGCCGGTGCTACGTCGTCCGCTCAAACGGGCAGCAATGGACCAGGCGGCGGATCGGAGCAACCTCACGCTCAGCCCAAGACCCGACCAGGGCTTTTTGCAAGAAGGTTTCCAAACGCTGCGGCTGCCGCTCAGAGGGCGAGACAGAGCGCTGGAGGTCAGGTCGCTGTGAAGGTCTGGAACAACAGGAGGTACTTGGGTATTGGAATTGCTGTGACGTTTTTGGGGACGAGCTACATTAGCGGCAAGATAGCTCAGATGTGAGTGCATATATGCGCCTCACAGGTTCCATTCGAGGCGTAGCCTGATTTCGTCATGGCCTACCCGATGTTGCGCGGCTTAGCAAACGGGATCACGTAGCTGATGATGTGAGTACAACGGCACCACATTCATTGTGCTAGCAGGGTACCTGATCCATGAGCTGCACTGAACCTTGTCCACCTTTTGATGGTCTCAGTCATGGCTGGTATGGAAGATCTACGATGGCGCCATCGTCGAGGCTCGAGGCCCCACGAGTCTGACGGCGCTGCTCGGCGGCGCATCAGCAGGCGAGGATGCTCCTCGCGTCATGGAGCTGTACGAAGCCGTGCGGGCTCTCAAATGGGCCAAAGGCGACTCGCGCATCCGAGGGCTCATTGCCGACTTCTCAGGCCTGCACATTCCGGGAAGCTCAAGAGGTCCAGGGCTGGGATTTGCGCAAATTGAAGAATTGACCCAAGCCATACACGATTTCAAAATTGCAAAGAATGAAGAGCTGACGGAGAGGCGGGAGGGATCAGCAGGCAAGATATTGCAGGTCGAGATTACTAGGCCGGGACATAAACCGGAGATGATGAGTGCGGACTCTATCGATGAGGAGCAGCTCGTCGCTTGGTTGTCCGAAGCCGACCCCAAGATCAAGCCAGAGCAAGCGGAGGCTAAGGTCCAGCAGCTGCACAAAGCTGTGGATCGTATCAAAGCTTCGGCGGAGACAAAAGCAGCTACGAAGGATGCAAACGGCCAGGGAGCGGCAGCTGGACCTGTGACGCGACAATTGCCAGCCACGATTGCCTGGACGGATACGTTCAGCTCTCAAGGCGCGTTCCTGCTGGCGTCCGCTTTTGATGAGGTCTACATCCAGCCATCCGGCTCTGTACCTCTCAGAGGTATTGGCGGCAGCATCACCTTTTTCCGGCGAGCATTGGAAAAGCTAGGCATCAAGCCTCACGCAGAAGCTCGGCGAGAATACAAGTCGGTCGTATCCCAATACACGGAAGATGGCACATTGACCGGACCTCAGCTACAGAATCAGGCATCTTTGCTCGGTGACTTGAATCGAGGAATGTGCTTCGCGATTGGCGTCAATAGATGGCCTGATATGGACCCGGACGAAGCTGCTGATAAGGTCGCGCAATTAGTCAAGAAAGGACCCTTCTCGGCGAACGAGGCCATCAAAGAAGGTCTCATCACCGGTACGATGTATAAGCGAGAGCTGTTCAAGCAAATCGGAGGACAAGAAGCCAAAGTCAAGGTAAGTATTGAGACGGACACGGACCGAGCGAAGCCCTTCCTTCTTGACCAGCACTTCTCCTCTTTCCCAGAGCTTCCCACTGTACTCCGACATCATTGATCGCACACTCGCCAAACGTTTACCGGACTCTTACAAGAATCAGGTTGGCGTCGTGTACCTCTTAGGGGGCATCAGTAGCGCTCCTGGGGACTTCACTGCTGCGCACGCCATCAAGGGCCTTCGCGAGGCGTGCGAGGATGATGAAATCAAGAGCATCGTTCTTCGCTTGGACACCGGAGGAGGATCTGTGGTAGACAGCGATTCGATCTACGATGCCGTGAGGAGATGTCAGGAAGAGTACGGCAAGCCTGTCATCGCAAGCTTTGGAAACGTCTCCGCTTCTGGAGGGTACTATGCTTCCGCTTCGGCAGACGCTATCTTGGCATGCGAGTCCACCATCACCGGATCCATCGGCGTGGCTGGCCTTAGACCAACGATCACGCGCAAAATCTTCGATCAGCTGGGCATCTCCATGCAGTCTTTCTTCACGGGCAGCAAGAACGAGTCATTGATGCATGAGATGAGCGAAGAGTACCGCAAGAGGAACGCAGAGCATATTGACGAGACCGTGAGTCTGGGCCCGATTCCTGCCGAGATGGCGAGCCCCTCTCATCGTCACCGACTCTTCCGTCTCCACAATAGTACGACGACTTTTTAAGCAAGGTTTGTGAGGGTCGAGGTATCTCTAAGGATGTCATCGAAGAGCTTGCAGGAGGCAGAGTCTACACTGGTCTGACGGCGCTCCTGAAGAGCAGGCCTGAGGAAGAGCTGATGGGCGACGAGGCTGCCTCGCAGACTCCGAACGCGACCAAGAAACCCGTGAAGCTTTCCTTCAGATATCGACCCAAGGACATCACGCGTCAAGGCGAATTCTCTACCATTGCCATTGAAAGTGACGCTTCCGACGAGCACGCGGGCGCTGCTCCTACCTCCGCCACTGCATCTGCTACGGAGCAAGAAAAGCAGGACGAAGATATCGTAGCCCAGGCCGCTAGATTGGTGGCTGAAGAGGAAGGCTCGATCGCTCTTGCTGCTGCTTCAGAGAACGCAATCGATGGGGATGCGGAAGACCAGCTGGCCGAGAAGGCTCATCAGGTTGCCGAAACTGAGCATAAAGCTGATGAAAAGGAGAAGGCTGCAACCGAAGAGGCTGCAGATGTGCCTAAGGGTCCGTATGGACGAGGGCTCATTGATACCATTGGAGGCTTGGGCGAAGCTGCAGCTTTGGCGTTCGCCACCGAGATCTCGTGAGTTGTCATCGAGCCCTCTAAACGTCCAGGACTTCTTGCGCTTCCGATGCTGACCCGCTGCGTTGCGCTCGTGCCCCCACAGCATTGAGATTCAGAAGCTCATTACTGAACATAAGATGACAAAGGAGCAGGCTGTGCAAGCTGTGAGACCCGGTCGACCACGCGTCATTGACGAGTCGGGGCAAATCAGCTTTGAAGGCGATCTGTGAGTTTGAAAACGTAGTTCCAACATCTTCGCGCACCTCTCATTCACATGGTCTGACGCCGCCTTTTCCCCCGACTCCACTGATGCAGCGAGCTAGTGCGCTTCCCGCGGGAGAAGAACTTCTTGCAGAGAGCGAGAGATATCCGGATGGGCAAAGCGGATCGACCTTCGGTGCTAGCCCTCTTTGGTTTCCCTGGTCTTACGGCAATCGCAAATGAGATGGTAACCACGGCTGCTAGGTCTGCCGTCAGGATGCTCATTAACCTCGACAGCGAAGCGTGGGCTAGAATGGTGGAGGAAGAAGTCGCGAATGCGTCGAACGAGCAGAATCGTATGCGCGCTCACATGAGGACAGGCGCTTGGGCTCGTCCTTGATGTCCTGTGTCGCCAGAGCACAAAGGTACCAAGGAAATTATCCACCCCTCCGCACCAATATCAACGCATCGCTGCTCCATGTCCGAGTACGCAAGTCACAACAAGGCTCTGGCCAATTACATGCATGCATAGTCTACTGCGGTGACTCGCTTGATCTGCTACTTTTGCTTCGGTTCATGTGGCGCCCAAGGTGAGAGATCAACGAGATTAGTCGAGATCCAATTCCTCTCCACCATCTCCGGCAGATTCTTCGGTGTCTGGTCTCGGCACGCCCTTAGGTGCGGGCGGTTGCTTGACGACGACTGGAGCCGGCTGCGAGCCACCTTGGGGTCCTCCGCCCATCAGAGCTCCAAGCATGTCCTGCATGAAGTTTCCCTGTGGCTGATTGGACCTGACGTCAAAGTAGAGCGTCGAAATACCATTGATCGTCTTTTGAGAAGGAAACAGGTTGTCAGGAAGCAGCGCATGATAAATGACGAGGAGCCTAGAGCGAGCGAGCACTGGCTAGCCACTCACATCACCGACGAATTCGTCCGCTTCCAGCGCAGGTCCTTCCCTCTGATACTGCTGAATCAATCCTCCCCAAGCATTGCGCAGCTGATCGCCAACCCTCTGACCCGACTTCTTGACGCTCACGGCTTGACCCACGAGAGCGAGTGTCATCTGAGCAAAGTTGAGATCCGCGTTGGCCGTCATGTACAGCTGCAACGGATCGGATTGCGCAGTACTTGTTCCGCCGACAGGCGAGAACGCCTTGGGATTCGGTTGAGTTGGCAATAGAAGTTTTGGATGCTTTGCGACGAGCTCTTTGACGTAGGCAATGAGGAACGCTCGTGAGCCTGTGAAAGCTCGAGCAACAAGCAACCTGAAAGCATGGGGCTTCGCATGTCAGCTGAGGTTAGGGGCCCAGCAATTGCACCTCTGGTAAAAACTCACGGCAAAAGTCCTCTCAAGGCCCACCTTCCTGATTCTGACCTTGCGATGGTTGCCTGATCCCTGCTCTCGCCTTTGGCTTGAGACTCTGTCTCCGCATGCGCATACAGCCAGGTCAGCTGACTGGAGGCGAATTTGGTAGGAGCAGATGCGTCAAAATGTTGAGAGGCTAAACTGGCGTTTCCAGGAGGGGGTGCCGAAGCTGCCAAGAGGTGGCCTTCTGCCGCGTAGAAGTCGCCAGCTAAGAGCCCAAAAGTGGCACATAGTTGTTGATCAGGTCGACAAGGGCGGCGTGCGTAATGCGGCCACTGTCCACTCACAGGCTACAAGAGCTTCTCCCAACGCCAGACGCAAGTGCCCATCTCCAGCTGGTGCATTTGTCACCTTCGCAGACCACCTGCAAGAGTATGAAACGAATGGGCAAGGAATCAGCTCAGAGGGACAGTTTAATGACTCAGAAACCTCGACCCATGCTTACTTGATGGCCGCATCAATCACCTTCTTGCGCCAGAAGTCAGGCTTGGCAGCTTTGACGATCTCTAGAATACGACCTTGAGCAAGCAGCGGCTCACAAGTCAGTGTCGAGAGAGGTCAGGCCAACACAGCATGTGTGTCTCACCTCTGCTGGTCTCGTCGCTAGGTAGTTCAGCTTGACCATATACATCGATCATGTAAACTCCCAAGTCACATCCGGATCCTTGCTCTCCCTCTTTCAGCAGCTCGACGGCTCCCCCGTGCAGCGATTCGATGGCACCTGCATAATCCTTCTTCTTCAATTGTCGTACGGCCTTCGTTCGCAGCTTCTGATGAAGCTCGTACCCACCCATGGTGAGTTGGACCTGGAAGCGAGGTTAGGATGGAGAAGCCCGGGATGTTGGCTCGAATGTGGATGTTGATGGATTGCTCTGAGGGCTCCTCGTGCGGGTGCAATCGAGGTGGCACTGTGCAGAGGATCGAGAGAAGCACGAAGGTTACGGCTGTTGTTGCTTGCGTCCTGACTCGCTAGTCGCTAGTCGCGAGCACGTTCAGCATTGTGATGGCCGTGCATGATGAAGCAGCCAAGATGGTGGTCCTTCAACACAACACGTGACTTGACTTTACTGGTATGCGACCTTTTTGTTGTACTACTACTTTTGACTTGTCCCGCGGGCCCAAATCAAGAAGTTCGGCACGCGGTATGCTTATGATTATTCTTTTACTTGCTGGTATACCTACGTGCGATTTGACTGCGGGAGGATGATCAAGCCATGTTCTCGCTCCGATCCATCTCCTCAGGCTCGTGCGTGGTCACTCAGCCTCTCTTCAGAAAGAATCTCAAGGTAGTCTTGAGTGTGGATCAAGCGCATCCGAGGTGTGGATGCCGCTGGCACACTGACGTCACATCGACCGATCGCGAGAGCGTCGGAGGGGCCTCCTCCCAACAAACGCACGGATCTCCTTTGCGCATCATCGCGCCGAGTGTGTCTGACGCTTGGGCCTCCAACGTGGATGAAATTCTCGAGCTGGCAAAGGCAGCACTTCGTAGCTCTCACTGCAGTAGCCGGTCGCAATCACCAATGAAGATTGAAGTGCAATCGACCGGCATGTCAACAACGAATCGGCATCACTCACGACTCGCCTGACTGATTGCGCTCAGTCAGTAGACGTCCCGCTACACGAGCATCGCCTCGCATGTCTCTCTGAGGTCTGGAGGGGACAGAAAGTTCTTCAAGCGCTTAGTTGCTCAACGCTCTGGTCGAAAGCGAAATCAAGTTCCGCACAGATACACAGATCGCAGGCGCTCGACTAGCCCGAGGCCTCTCCTTCGTCTTTCCCAGTCATGCAATCCTGAGATCAGCGCATACATTCATTCACCAGGCCACGAAGCGACGACTGTGCAAGGGCCTCCCTGATCTCTTTCGTGCAAATCAAGCGCTAGCAGACAGATGCTGGTGCGGTCTGTGAGGAGAGCTTCGAGCCAGCTGTCTTATAAAGGGGTACGTCGAGACGCTCTCTGTGGGTGCCCTTGACGCGCTTCGCTTTCCTTAATGGACACCACTTGTAACACCATCAGCGTCAATCTCGATCTAGCCTTTGTAGCGTAGCACAAGTCTCCATCTCCTGTCATGACGAGCAGCGCCGACCTCAAAGAGCGGGCTGCCGCCATCTCGGCGGGCGTGAAGCTGCTGCCAATGCTGCTCACCCACCCGCCTTACATTCCTGCAAGCATGAAGTCCGACGAGCTGAATCAGCGACACCGCTTGCTAGACATGCAGCCAGAAGAGGATGGCTACCTTTTCAGCGACGTGTTTGGTCATGCTCCTGGCACAGCTACGCGTGTCACTAGTCGCATCCAAGCTCTTCAGCAGCAGCTCGAAGCGCTGCTCGGCATACAACCGAGCGCTGCCAGTGCTGTCAAGAAAGTAGTCGGCGAAGTGACCTTCAGCGCTCCAGAGCAGACTTTTGCGCTTGCTTGTGTAAGCCTAGGCAACACCAACAGTAAGAAGCCTCTCCTCGATCTGGTTTTGCGCAGAGCCATGGGCGTCTCGGAGGACGATGCGGCGGGAGTTTGGAAGTTCGACAATCTCGTTCCCGCCGGCACACTGCCTGGTGCGTGGGTCAACAGTCTGCAACAAGCCTACGAAACGCACCGACAAGAGCAAGTCCGTGCGAGTATTGCCCGCCAAGCTGGTCGCGATCGCAACGTTTCCATGGACAGCGCAAACATACCTAATTTCGATCGCTCATACAGCGACAGAAGCCTTGGCACCACGCGCACCTACAACTCTTTTGCCACTGCAGCTTCGAGTTTCGAAGAAGAACATATCGCAAAACCTCAAGCGGATGCTTCGGCCAAAGCCTCTCCTGGTGCTGAGTACATTACTGACCCGGACGAATTCTGGGGCGGTGTGGATGATGATGAGGAGGGGGACTCAGCCCAAGACCAAGCTCAGAAGCCTGCAACTGAAGCCCCCGAGGCAGAGCAGAAGGCTGAGGATGATTACTGGGCCCGTTATGATCTGCAGCAACCTGCGGCGGAAGGGCATAGAAGCTCTGTCAATGGCGAGCAGCACGGTGGCGATGTTGACGGCGTAGGCTCAACGCAAGGCTTGTCATCTGCCCACTCAGCGAATCACTTCAGCGACTTTTTTAGCGTAGGCTCTGCCATTGCCGGTGCCGAACACCGAGAACTGAGTCTGCACGCTACTGGCATGACCTCGCCGGTCCAAGTCCACAATGAGCCCACACTAGCATCCGGCGGTCTTACAGTACAAGCCCTTGATCGTCACGATGCAAAGCCACAACAACCAGAATGGTGGGAAATTCCAAATGGAATCACGGAGCGCGAGCCTGCTCGACCCAAGCTGGGCCGCTTGTCATCAATCCGCTCTGACGCCACGGACTACGGCACTGACACATTGCAGGATCATCGGTCTCAAAGTACGCATGCCGATGGCATCTTCACGTTACCGAGCACAAGTGATATATTGCCTCATGAAGATCCCGATGTTGGCGTTGAGGGTGATGAAGAGCGGGCAATTGCGGACGTTGTGACCGGAGAGGTCTTCGCACTCGACCCTATTCCCGAAGCAATCGATCATCAGGCCACGGACGACCCGTATGAGGATGAAGAGCCAGCGAGTCCAAGAGATTCAAGCAAGGACAACTTTGGATTGGACACCATTCCTGACGCGACCGCTGGTCAGGACTTTGACTCGGATGAACCCGCCTCTTCGAAAGCTGCGGCTCCGGATGTTGGTCAAGCAGAGCAGTCAATCTTAGAGCCGGATGGCAACGCCCTAGTCTCGCAAGGCGGTCCCAAAGTGATAATCGCCAAGCCAAGTCGTGAGCACCTCGTTGCTGATAGCCTTGAAGCTCCCAAAGACGAGGAATTAGAGGCAGCAGAGGCTGAGGACGAACTAGGAGCTGTCCTCTCACGGTCTCGAGCGGGTTCGCTGCTTCCTTCCTCCCCAACTGCGAGTCTGAGCAGTGTCATGGCCCCGCGTCCTCCACGCAGCGTTGTCAGTGTCCAGTCATACTTCGATACTCCAGCAGACATGGAGCTTGCCGACCTCGAAGCTTTCTACAGAGCCCGCGATCAAAAGCGTCAAGAAGAGAAGCGCGAGCGAATACGTCGGGGCGGACAGCTTCCAGGGATTGACGATGACGAGAATCGTGGGTTCAAGTCGCCTAGTTCTCATCAGAGCCCCGCGACACGCGAGCGAAGTCTCAGCATCAAAGATCTCGACCCCATCACCGCTCTTGGAATTGCACCCAAGTCGGCTCGTGAAAGCGATCAGCCGCGCAAGGTGGTCCGCAACGCTTCCATGGATGCTCTCAGACGCCTTGCCGAGCAACAAGAAAGAGAAAGCAACATGCAATGGGGCGGTGTTGCCGGCTCGGAAAGAAGTGGTCAATCCTCGGGCTCGAAGTCGGGACAAAAAGGCTTCGGTTTTGGCAGCTTCTTGCAAATGGCGCCGAGCGAAGTCACCGACGTCAGCTCCGTCTCTTTCGCCAAAGAACCGCCGCTGCCATCTCCGATGTACCTGGCTGAGGTCAATGACCCATTTTTGTCACAAAATGACAGCCATCATCAGGCTACTTCGACACTGGAGGCTACTGATAAGGTACCTGAATTATCTCAGTCTAATGAGGAGGCCAACGAATCCGATGAAAATGCAACCGCCCTGCCCAGAGGCCGGCTTCAACAAGGCGAAGCTGACACAATTTTGGAACATCTTGAAGGCGTAGAGGCTCGCGAAGCGCCTGAGGATGAGGCTGCAGATGAACAGCACAATCTGGACCTCACCTTGGACGACGAAGAAGCCACGGACATTGGCCATGCCATCGCTTCTGAGATGCAGCTCGACAGTCAGGAAGCTCAGCTCGTTATGGAGGAGCTTGACCAACAAGATCTGGATCCGCAAATCTCTCAGGTCGCCATCGGAGAGGAGAAGTCCGATGGGAATGATGCAATGGACGACGAAAGCGCCAATCAGAAAGAACTTTACCTGCCGCTGCCAGAGGCAAGAAGCTTCCTGCCCTCCGAAGCCTTCAATCTCAAGGTGCGACACGCCATCGATTCACCCAATGCAAGCGAGGGCGATTCCCTGGTCCGTCAAGTGACAAATAGTATGCGTGGTCACGGCAAGGGTCGGGCACGAGTCTCGCCTGGTGACAGCTCGGTCATTGCTGCCAGTGACAGCTTCATGCCGGGCGCAGCTTCGGACGCTTCCGTGCGTCCACTCTTTGGCAGTCGTCAGGGATCCTGGCCTTCGCAAACCGACTCGCCCGACTCTGTACCTGGTAAGCTCGCGGCACGCGCTCTTCGTCCTCCGCGCACACGCTTCAATCTTGAAACGTTTCAAGAGACAGACTTTGACGATGGAAAGTCGATTTCCTCGACGCAGCAGCAGCTCGGTCTGGACAGTCCCAGCGAGGCCCCGGTGAAGCTAGGCTTGGGGGCCAGCTCGAATCGGTCTGACCTCGATGGCGCTAGCATCGACCACTCGGTACAGTCCAAGCCTGTCAAATTCCGTGCACTTGGTTCTGCTCCGCCTCCTAGTGCGACGTCTGCTCATGCAGCCAACATGCTCCACGACTACTTGAAGCAGCAGCGTCAACAAGCTCTACAAAGTAAGCGCGACCGTGTCGTTCAGAAACAACAGCAGCGCACAAAGTGAGTCGTTGAGCTTGTGGGCCCAATGGAGCAAATTTGCAAACTCACCCTCTTTGCACATCCTGCAATCAGTCAGGAGAAGCAAGTCAAAGACGCCGGCTACTTCAACATAAACACGTACGACGATCGGACGCTTGAGCGTGACGCTCAACAGCAGGTTTCGGGCTTTGCCGACGGAAACGAAGCAAGGGCGACAAACCCACGTGCGCTCACGAGCAGCACCTCCCCCACATCTTCGACCCTTCGCGAAGTCGGCGATGTGATGACAATCTCGAGGGACGCCGCTCGCAACAGCAAACCTGATGCCCAGGCTGAGAGGTTTGAGGCAAGGGAAGAGCGCAATGCGCCTCAGGATGAGGATGAGACGGGCGAACAAAGTGGCCTTGGACTGAGCAAGAACGCCGACCGAGCGGACGAGTCGCAAAGCGACGATGAGTCCTTGCACGAAAATTTCGATATCCAAGAAGATGCCGAGATTGACGCAGACCCCGAGGCTGATCGACGCGTCTTTGGTCAAGAATCTGAGCCCGTCTCTCTTGAGCTCCCCCTCGAGGAGGATGAAGGGCCTGTGGCAGACAGCAGCGCAGAGGATGAGGAAAGCGATAGAGCAGCTGAAGATGCAGAAGACTTCACGGTCAATGCTGAGCAGCCAGAAGGCGTCGAGGACGAAGATGAAGGCACGTTCGAGGAGGGCTTCGTTCGATCCATTGCTGGACACATTCTTAACCAAGGAGATGACAAACGGACCAGCTCATGGAAACGTCTTTCGCAGTCTCACGACGTAGCCGCCGGCGCCGTTTTGCCCCCATCCCCGCCTAGCGAGGACAAGAGCCCGGGCTTTTCACACGACAATATGCGGGAAACTTGGGTGCAACATGGTCCCTCTGTGCTCAGCACTCCTGCCATCAGGGCCGGCAATCAAGCAGACGAATCGATGCTGCTGCAACCACTGCACCCGAAGCAGTCCGAAGAGTTCAGCATTTCTCCTGCAGCTGCAACGATCGCTGAGCCGCAAGAAGAACCCCGCAGGACCTCGGGTATCGGAGCTCGTCATCAGGGGCAGCTACCAAATGGGGTGCAAGAGTCTGAGCCCATGGATTTGCATCAGGCCCGTAGTCAGGGAGCACAAGCAGCTCGTCTACGTCGCCAGGCAGCCATGTCCATCAGGCGCCGCAACGACGCTGCAAAGGCCATTCTGAGAGGTGTGTGGGATCTGTTGGAAGAAGCAACAGCGCCTGCGGAAGGCGCTCAGGACAATGACGCCGCAGGACGCTTGACGGAAGGAGAATTTGTGCGACTTTGTCGTGAAGTGGCTCGCGAGCAGGTTGCGAGACGTGGTGAGGCCGACGAGGCGGCCCGGGAGCAGGCTTTGCGACCGCTTATCAAGATCGTCAAAGGAGACGCAATCCCAAACGGTGGTGACAACGTTGCCGAGGAAGACTTTGAAGAGTAGCGGCTGAACCTGGACCCCGATCATTTGCTTGTATACTAAATCTCGTTTCTCACCCTCTGATGCCCTCACACTCGTTTGCTAGAGGATTGGATCGCCTTGGAAGTCTAATCTCAATTTTGGCATTTCCGCGACTTCACGCTCATTTAGCTTGGCGTTGATTTTCATCGCTCCGTGAGAGTCACTTTTTGCATGTATTCCCAAACAGCTTCGTGCTCGGACACAGCAAGCCTCAGCAGAGAGCACCACTCGTTTTTTCCTTGGTTCAGAAATAATTCAATTTGGTTGGACGCCGATCATCTTAGTCCAGTCGACGACCGACCAACCCTTTTGCTTGAATGCGGAAATAGCTTGCGTCTGTTGATGAGCGTCCAGCCGTCGAGGTTTGCGCCACTGCCTAGGCTCGAGATCAAGCAGCTGACCAACGATTTCGGCCGCGAAGTATTTGGGAAAAGTGTTGCCACCCTTGGATGCGCCCTTGTAGCCGTACGTGTCCTCGTCTCCTTCCATCAAATCGCCCTCTTCTATGATGTGTCCATATCCCTTTTCGCCCTTGTAGTCCCACATGACGGCAAAGTGAGGTAGGTTCGGCACCAAAGATTTGCGAAAAGGTCTTGCAGAAGTGAATTCGATGAGCTTTTTGTTCTGGGACCATTCTTCATCGACGGTCAAAATTTCTTGCTTGAACGATGCGGGCAGCTCGCTGAAGAGATCGTGAGGAACGGGGATAGCTTCGATGGCAGTGTGTCGCTGATGCTTGATGGATCTGACTGTCTCGCAAAAGATGTAGGACTGTTGGCGAGCATGCGCCATCTGCATGAGACACTTCATGAAATTCTTGATTTCGTCCCAGGTGTCATCATCCGCTTCCAGCGAGCTGAGGTAGTGCTGCATAGGAACGATGAAGCAGTGGCCGTCCACCAACGCCTCGCCCTCTGGTAGAGCGAGATAGCAGAGCGTTCCGCTGCTGACAACTGGCGCTCGGGGAGGCTTCGCGCCCTCCTCCTGCCAACAGTACTGACACGCATCCAATGCTTTCTTGGTCTTGGCAAAGTCCTGTATGGCAAATTGCCTCTTCATCGCATCCGTCTTCATCTTTTTCCTTCCCAATCTCTCTACATTCTCGTCCATGTAATCCAAGTCGTTCTTGAAGTTCGAGTCATTCATGATGCGCTTAGCAAACTCGGCGTCCATGTCTTTCTGATCAGAGCTGCCTGCTCCAAATCGTTCTTGCCGCACCAGCTCAGCAAGTGTTACTTCGTCGTCGTCGGCATTGTAGCGCAGACGCTCGCCCGTCTTTTTATCATGAGATTCGAACTGCGAAGAGAATAGGGTGCTTGTGGATCAGTTAGTGCCGTCGGTTTCGCCATCCACCGCCAGCTCGCTCAGCGCACCTTTTTGCGATCAGGATTGTTCTTTTCTGCCAAGCGATTGCCGCTCGTAATCGACGTGGGATTTTGAGCAGCCTGACCAGATCCCACATCATATAAGCGTCCGCGCGCGTCCAAAGTGGGAAGGACCTGTACTGTTGCGCCCTCATCAGCGTCGGGCCGTATATGCTGTGCATCGGTAGGAAAGCCTCCTCCTCTATCACCCCCCGTACCTGACCTCGCCTTCTCTCTTTCGAGCTTGGCGCGCAAGCTGGTGGCCTGAGACGAACCCGTCAACTCTGCTCGCAGCACCTTCGCTTCTAGTTTGTTCAGCGCAGTGGCATCCATAGGCGGTGCCGCAGTCTCGCTGCTGGACTCTGCGGCCGTTGCGGCTCTCTGATATGGTGCAGTGGCCTGATCGGCTGGCAGGTCATTCTGATCTGCGCGCTGCTCTTGCTGCTCTTGCTGCGAGCGACGCGGCACGGTGGGTGTAAAGACTGATGGAATGGGTGTGCCGGGCTTGCTACCATTTGCCGGACTTTCGAAACCGCGCTGCTGAAACCGTGTCGAAACGGGGGGTGGCAGTTGTGCAGATGGAGTCCCAGGATTGCTGCTTTCGCCAGGTCTCCTGAAGCTAGCCCTACTGTTCGGCCTCGATCCTCCTTCACTTCCTCCCGGTGTGCTGAACATGAAGCCTTTTCTGGAGGCGCTCGCTGCGTTGGGCGTGTTTCTGCCAGAGTCCCCTGCACCGCGAGTCTGTGACCGATCTTCGATGAATTGCCTCTCCGCTCGAGCCTCGTTGAAGTCGGCCATGCTAGCATACCTCTCCAACGCGACTTCTTCCACGGGTCTGTTCTGCTCCTCTGCCGTCTCGTACACTCTTCTGAGCTTCATCATGCGCCATTGGTAGCCAGAAGATCCATGGGAAGGCGCATTTGTGGCTGCGGCGTGAAAGTTGAGTGATGCAATGAGCGCTCAAAATGGGATCTGCACGTTTGCCTTGCGCAGTCGCATCCTGTACTCACGTGCTGTCGAATACTCATCGAGCGACTTGCCCTGAACGAGCTGCGTGTTGAGCTCTCTGCTACTGATCTGAAGCTTTTCGGGATCCGGCTTCTCCGGTTTGGGCTTCCTGTCTCGATCTTTGGCTAAATTGCTGACGAGGTCCTGATCAGAACCCTCGACATCTTCACGGATAAGATCTCCCGTCAGCGGATCTCGACGTTGGTGCCTTGGCGCTGAAGCGGTGGTTGAGCTTGCATCGTGAGTAGCGACAGTCGCTCCCTCAGCCGTAGATTGCTCAGAGGGGAGCATGCCGCTCTTCAAAGCGAGTGACCCAGAGGTGGGAATCGCATGGGTTGCAGCCTAGTTGCGATCAGGGTCGTTGTGGCACCCTCAGCTCAGACACTCTTGGCGAGCAGATTGCGGACACAATTTCTCAGATCTTCATCACTCACCTCGGCTGCGCTTGCGCCAGCACTCGTTGCAGGAGCTTCATCCTGAAAGTTTGGATCGTCATCCACTATGACGCTCTTAGAATGCCCATCCCTTTTCCCGCTTTCCCGCCTATGCTGGTCTCCTTGCCTCTCTTCCTCTCGCCTCCTACGTTTCCGCTCTCTGCGCTCTTTTCCGTCCTCTTCATGACGTTTAGTGTCACGATGAGAGCGCGAGGAATGATCATGTCGAGACGATTTGACATCTCTCCGTTCGTCTTTGTCGTAGTCATGCCTCCTCTCGTCCTCCCGATGATGCCCACGCTTGCGCTCAGGATCCGACTTGCGATGCCTCTCGCTGTGAGATCGATCGTGCCAGTCTCTCTCCCGCTCTCGTTCGCGGTGAGATGGACGCGATGCGCGATGGGTGTCCTCACCCTGGCGATCACCGGAGAGTCCAGAAGATGTATGCCTGAGATCTTCCATGTTCGTCGAGCGATGAAATAGGAGTGAGGCTGCTGAGAAATGAAGGTTTGTCAGGTGAGCAAGTGATGGAGGCGAGCTTGTACGTGCAGTCAGCGGAGGGGAAGTCTGCAATGGCGGTGGAGGTAGTGTGAGTCTGGGTCAAGCTTCACGTCCCCAAAGGGCTCAGGTAGCGCACGTGACTTGCTGCATAATCTTGCAGATAGTTCGAGACTTCACTGGGCAGCTGCAACGGCGCGAGGTTTTACCACGTGGCGAGGCATGCGGGCGCATGCGCCCGCTCTTCCTTCACCGCAGCCTGCATCGAGAGCTTAAGGTATCGGGCCAGAACCGGACGCCCTCATTCATCCATCCGCACCACGAAGACTCTCCCAACAAACATTACTGGCTCAACAATTCGGCAAGCACTTCGTCAAGTGAGTAAGCAGTGCTTTGTTGGTCTGATCGCACGAGCGATCCGCTGACAGCCTTTCACTACCATCTTCAGAATGGTGAGCATTTGGACCAGCCTGGCCTCGGAGACGGAATAGACATGGAGGGTGAAGGGAGGATTGAGACCAATGTTGCGAGGCGAAGCATAAGGATGTAGCTGGTGCCATGATGCCGCACTGGGTGTAGCCGCCGCTCTGTAGGCGTTGCTTTCAGCATGTCGCGGCAGGCATTGCAGCAAGAGCTGGATTGGCCCAGGATGACGAGCAAGCCACGGGCAATTGAGTTGGGCGCGGGAAGGAACGCATTTCGTCAAGAAAGTGGACGGGACAGACGCGGGTGAGCTCCTGAAAGGTTGCGCTGACAAATGCTTCGTTTCATCGCAGGTTCGCGGTCCTAGAAAGCACTTGAAGCGTCTGGCGGCGCCCTCATCATGGATGCTCGATAAGCTCTCTGGCACCTACGCCCCTCGCCCCGCGCCCGGTCCCCACAAGTTGCGCGAGTCCTTGCCTCTTGTCATTTTGCTGCGTAACCGTTTAAAGTACGCCCTCACTGGACGTGAGGTGACCGCCATCACTGCGCAGAGGTTGATCAAGGTGGACAACAAGGTTAGGACCGAACCCACTTACCCAACCGGCTTCATGGACGTTGTTTCCATCGAGAAGTCCGGCGAACACTTCCGCATCCTCTACGATGTCAAGGGAAGATTCATCGTTCACAGAATCACTGCTGAGGAGGCTCAGTTCAAGCTTCTCAAGGTGAAGAAGGTACAACTCGGCGCTCGTGGTGTCCCTCACGTCGTCACCCACGACGGACGCACCCTCCGTTACCCAGACCCTCTGGTCCGCGTCAATGACTCCATCAAGTACGACCTCGATGCGCAGAAGATGGTCGATTTCATCAAGGTGAGTCGCTAGGGACGAGATGTCACACCATTTGTTCCTGCAGACCGACTCTTCGACCACTGGTCACTTGGCTAACTCGCCTGGCCGCACACTAACAGTTCGACACTGGTGTCAACGTCATGGTCACTGGTGGTCGTAACCAGGGCCGTGTTGGTGTTGTTTCTGGTCGCGAGCGACACCCTGGAGGATTTGACGTGAGTCGCTGGCCCGCTTCGAAGCGGCGTGCACGCTTGGAAGCAGGATGAGCCATCATCAAGCGACCAAGTCGTGCACGCTCGCCTAGAGCCCCACGCGTTTTTTCAGCATTGCCACGTCTTCGACAACCGTTGCCAACATCTGCGACTCTTCCTCTCCCTGATTTCGGGCTCGCACAGATCGTCCACGTCACCGACGTTCTCAACCGCTCTTTCTCTACTGTGAGTCAGCGCGCAACGATCCGATGCGACGTGGCCGCGCCTTCACTCACACTGCCCTCTTCTCTTGCACGTAGCGTTTGAGCAACGTTTTCGTCATCGGCGATGGCTCCAAGCCCGCCGTCAGCTTGCCCAAGGGTGGTGGTGTTCAGCTCACCATTGCCGAGGAGCGTGACCAGCGTCGTCGTCAAAAGGAAGCCGCTAGCGCCTAAAAGGGACACGTGTCGCTCTTAGCCTCCTCTCCATTTGCGCGCGTTCCTGCCTGCCTGTCGCTGTCCTCACTTTAGCACAAATTCAGTCACTTCTCAGATCCGTGAGAGCAACTGGCAAATGATCGTCCTTTCACGTGGACCTCTATTCGTGCGGCCGCGCGTCCACGCATTCCCATGCATCCTCGACGTTCTGATCTTCTCTTGTCTCGACCTGGAGCAGGGAGGCGTCCGTCGATTTACAACCGCCTTTTCCATCACATGTAACAACCCACCACGCCTCTTGACTTGGTCACCTATTGCAGGATGCCGAGACCAAAAAATGCAACAAGCAAATTTCTCGGTACTATGTCATGCGCGGTGATGACTGTTGTGTGCATTCAAGATTGTGATCGCACTTGTGGTAGGAAGGAGCTTTGTATCCTGATCTCGGTACCGTGGGCGGACAAAATCGAGGGCAAGTGAGCGCGAGAAGAAGCATTCAATTTCACGCGCGCACCATTGATCTGGAATATTCTTGCAGTGCTTGACTAGCTTGTTCGCGACGCTGTACTGACGACGGACGACTTTTGACTTTGACTCGAATACGCACTCTCCTCGGCATCAGCATCTCACACTCCCCACCGAATCTTGAGCGACTCTTACGACTCTTCTTGCCGGAATTCGATCGCCTAATCCGCACCAAATATTGACAGCTTTGCAGTCCTCCAAACTCCCTCAGACATTCAAACTTCCCAACCGTCCACATTACGATCGGCGCCTGCAGACCCTGACATCTGCGAGCAACCAACGAAGCGTCCTGTTGCGTCTGCTGCGTCGATACTTGTGTGTCTGAAGTAGGCATTTGCGCATCCCATAGCTCTGTGCTGGCATCGATTTGCGGGCACGGATTCCATCGCACGGAGTGGTCGAGCAGGAGTAGCTGAAGCGCAATTTTCCAAGGAGAAGGAGGAGGGACGGGAGATTATCAACAATGCTGGCCCACGATCTGTGCGCGATGATCCAGAATGGAGCTCGCGGCAGGTTAAGATCCGTACCCTTGCCTTTCACCAAACGAGCGATCAATCTCTCCTCTGTTCTTCTCAAGCACGGCTTCCTCTACAATGTCACACTGGGAACTCATGAAGGCCCATCTCCCTCATCCTGGCATCAAGCAACCTCCGACTCTTCTCGAAAAATCTGGCTGGATATCAAGTACGCATCGGATCAGTCTCCCGTCTTGCGTCAACTCAACGTCGTCTCCAAACCTAGCAAACGCATCTTTGTGGATGAAAAGGACTTGTTGTTGCTTTGTACGGGAAGGAGAGCTGCTTTCGTTCCCCCTTTTAAGACCGGCGAGATTGGTATTGTGGATGCGGGCGAACATGGCTGGTGCGAAGCTAGGGAAGCCATAGAGAGGAAATGGCAGGGAGAGCTGGTGGCTCGAGCAATGTGGTGAGTTTTCTGCGCTTCTTGTGGCTGGGGAAGAAGAGGCGATCCGAAAGGGGACTGCTCCGCGCAGAAAGTTGGGTCTGCTGGCCATCTCGCACGCTAAGGCACCCATCACGCATTACGTTCAGAACCCTGCCCACAGGAAGAGGGAGGAGCGAGATGCTCGCATGAAGTCTGATACGATGCAATCCCTTTTAACACTGACGCCCCAATTTGATGGTCTGCTTCGCCCTTCAGATTATCCGCCGCGAAGAAAAAGTCAGAGGGGGTGAAATCAGGAGAGCATCGCTTCGGACCACTTGGAACCGAGTCCAATTCCTCAATCGATGCATCGCCTGTTGGCACTTTCTTCATTCCCACCGCTGTCATTCATCGATATCTACCCACGCGCGCGACAAGCTGCGCAGCTACGCTCGCCGCTCAAGCTCATCCTTTGGTCGCATTGGTCGCGACAAGATTGTGAATGCGCCTGGCTGCGGCAGACCGGAAAGTTTGCAAAAGCGGGGGAATTACCAAGATGCTATGAACAAATACATGCGGCTCTTGCTGGCTGACACCTCGAATGAAGTTCTGGCAGAGTCCCTAGAGCCACCGTGACTGCCTTTTCCTGCGTCGCTTGACCTTACACTCAATCATTTTCTCGCAACAGCTTCATTCAAAATCGCACACACACGCGCGCTAAAGTGATCCAAGATCATTGATGTGCGCATAGTGGTCAAGGTCGTTGGCGCTTGCTGGGAGCAAAGTGTGCAGTACAGGCATCGAGAGGGCTGGGGGAATAGAGAAAAAGGAAAAGGTGGTTGGATCGATAGCGGTGTGGTACCTGTGCGATGTGCGCCGCGACGAAGCGTCTAAGTAGGCATTGGCGTCTTGTTCACGGCAGCATCGTACTCGTCGCCGCTGTTCTCCTCTTCAGCTGGCAAGTCCTCGAGGGGGCTTTTGCGAGTTTTCAAAGGAGCTGTCAAGTCGCGGTCCTGCGGAGAACGCTGTTGAGCGGCAAAGGACCTCGTGGAAGCATTTGCAGCCATGGGCGTCGGAGTCGGGGTGCTCTCTGGCAAGGCATTTGCGCTTTTTGAGGAGAGACCGGAAGAGGCGTCGATTTGTATGCCCGAGAGGCTCGTCAGAGCTTTCGCGTAATCCACCTCGTCTTCTTCATCCTTATCATCGAGAATAGTGCTAGTGCGAAGTCGGACGCCTCCCATGTTTCCTTCGCCATCGCTGCTAGACCCACTCCGGATGCTCATATTGTCCACTTCCGACACAGCAGAGCTAGGGAAAGAGAGGCGCGCATCGTCGTCGAGCTGAAACGTGTTCCGGGCGAGCTGCAAGAGGATCACTCCGTCTCCATCGCCATCGTTCCCATTGATGGTCGCATGAGCGTCGCTGTCCGCATCAAAGTCCCGCTCAAATTCCGAAACGGCATCTGAAGGGACGCTGATCGACGGCACAGTATCGCTGCTCTTCGAAGGACGTCTAACTCGTGCGGCGTTGAGCATCAGCGAGACGTCCTCGTTTGAAGGTTTGCGCAAATGTGAAGAGGGACTGAGGGGGGACCTCTGATCCAGAAGCAAGTCGAGATCCTCCGTCGACACGTTGCCTGGTAAAGAGCTAGACGATTGCGCTTTTGCTTGATCGTGCTTTACGACATTGCTTGGAAAAGCCGTCCAGCCGGCCGCTGCGAGAGCATCTGTGGGTGCCGGGGAAGCTTCGGGCCCAATCGACGGCAATGACGCAGAGCTCTTCTTTGGTGTCCGTTCAAACGCGTTGCGGTACACCGGCGAGCGCTGAACGCTTTCTTGCGAGGTCCGACTGCGAATGCTGACGTTGGCACTTCCCCTTCCACTCGTATCATCCCAAGACGGAGACTTGCCTCCGCTGCTTTGACTGAAAGCTGGACTATGCAAGGGCGCGTTGATATCGTGTGACTGCGACGTCGCAGCCTTGCCCGCTGTCGCTCTGAATGCGCCAAGGGGTATGCGATGTGGGTAGCGTGAAGCGGTGAAAGATTGCGACGGCGCAATGTATTCCACGCTGTTGGCGCTTGCTTGCGAGTCTGCGCGCGCATGAGATCTAGGGGGCCGGACTGGAGTGGCCCATTGCGCAAGTCGACCCTGGCTTGGCTGCGAAGACGAGGACGAGGAGCGCACCAATTCCTGCAGATCTGTAGCAGACGATGACCGCGACATGGAGAGCGGCAAGGGATTTGGATCGAAAGATGGCCGCCGCTGTCGATCGAACACTGGCCTGCCACCCGTGATGCTGCCGGCGCTGCTCGAACTCAGCTGTCGCTCTCGCGAACCGCGTGTCATCCACCGCTCGTCGTCAGAGTCATCTTCCGGGCGGCGTAGCGCATGCTGAAGAGGATTGACAGCCCTATCCGTCGAGCTTATTGAGCCCGACGCAAGCATACCCAAGCTTTGCGAGGACTGCGTGGAGCCCCGATTTGTCATGGGCGGCCTCCTTGGTCGATGCTCAATCGACGTCTGCCACGACGCATTAGACTCTGCTGCAGCAAGCTCACGCTCCCACAGGGCTTCGTCGATTGCGCTCACAGCTCTGCTGCTGGACGAAGTGGCAGGGCGTTCGATCTCTCTGAGCACGTCCTTTGCAAGCTTGTGACGCACCTTGCGCTCTCTTCGGCCCAGCGCAAAGGATGCTCTTGTAGCGGAGGCGGGCGCAGGTGAGGGCACTCCAGTGGAGGAATGACCCGAGTACGCAGACGCCATGGATGGCGAAGCTGGGTAGGATGAGGTTGAAAAAGCGCTTTCCTGAGAGTATGAAGGGCTGAGGCTATTATTCTCGCTCGAGTCGCGCTGGCGTTGCGCAAAGCTTGCATCTGAACCTGGAGACGTCAACGCGTTCTGCGTGGAAGGAGGCCCTGTTCCATCAGCGCTGGCCTGGCCGGAATGACGGCCGAACATGCGCGAGGTGGATGAAAGCGCAGCCTTGCTAGAGCGCTTCGATTTAAAAGCAGCTTTAAGGCCCAGCCGTGAGGAGCCCTTGCTCGAGCTAGACGCATAGCCTTCATTGAAAGAGTCGGCATTTGGACTGACATCGAATCCGCTGCTCGACTTGATGCCAAGCAGTTTGCGGGCCTTTGCGCCAGGCAAGTCGTCTCCGCTATTTGAACTGAAACCACTTCGAGAGCGAGGAGAATTCTGCAGGGAGGGACTGACCAAGTGACTCTCACTGATGTCGAGAGCTGCTGGAACTCTGCGGCATGCACGGCTCTGGATGCCATGCGAGGTCGAGGAGCTGAGGCCACTGGCGCTGCTCGCGATGCTGCTGGCAGAGGATTTGCGGGCGAGCGCTGCAGATCCAGCCCTACCAACGGGAATGCCGGCCGACACTCCAGGCGTGGCCAAGATCTCCTCAAAGTCCTCCTCATCACCCTCACTGTCCCACCCCCTCGAGCCGCTGCTGACCATGGAGGGCCGTCTCCAAGAATCGTGACTGCTTCCGCCGACGGTAAGACTTGATGAGCTCGCATTACCCCCAGCTCGACTCATTCCTATGCCAAGTCCAGCACCAGAGCTGGATCCTGAAGATCCGTCGGCAGCCATGGTTGCACAGGCCGATGGCAGCGCGCTCTGGGATGCTGCTCTGCGAAGGCTTCGAGCCAGAGCCTGCGAAGGCGCCGCGGGCGGACGACCTCTGATGGACGGCCTCCTTGAGCTTCTACCTTCACCAAGCCCTTGCTTTGCCGTGTCGGCGCCTCTATCCACCACTCCGAGTCGCGAGATCTGGCTTGACGTTCGTTGGGGGATGACAATAGGAGGAGGTCTGACGCGACGCGACTTGAGAGACGAGGGCCACTTCTCGGCAGTCGAGGAATCGCTCGGATTCTCGGAGTGTTTGTCCTCGTGGAATGCGCCTCCGCTGACGGTGACAAATTCTTTCCCGCCCTGATATGCAGACTCGCTGTGTGCTTCCAGCTCTTCAGTCGAGAGGTAAGGTAGAACAGCTGCAAAGAGTGGTTCGTCGATGTCTATTTGGACGGGCGATAGAACGAGGAAAGACGCTGACGCTCTACGCCTTGGCGAGATCTGATTGGTGGTGCCGAGGACGATGGGCGCTGCCTGAGTGCGCTGGACAGTATCCGAGAGTGAGCGTCCATGTAGACCAGGAAACGGCCTAGCTCCTGGCGGGTGTGAAGACGCCGATGCGCACTGCTCGTGGCTGAGGGTGTTGGCCGATGAAGTTGTCGAGGAAGCCGTCGGGGGCGCGCCCTCGTCGCTCGGCGCCTGACCGGGGAGATGACCAATACACTGTACTGTTCGAGCACCCTCCTGATGCTCAAAGAAGGCAGGCGATGCGGAAGAGGCCGGCGACTCGGTGATCACTGCGGTACCAGCGCTCTCGAGAGTCTGCGACCTGGCTCGAACCAGATTGTGCCGCTGGCCTTCTCGATCTGGACTTTGGCGATCGAAGAGGGACGACGTGCTGGTGAAAGAGGATGAAGATGAAGAAGTTCGCCGAGAAACGCCAGCAGCACCAGGTAGAGAAGTAGTCGTGGGCGATCTGTGAGTGGAGGAAGAGGAGGAGGAGTCTGTGCGAGGCAGTAAAGGGCCGTGGCGCACCGGACCTCGCGTGTGCAATCGCAGCGCCGCTGCTGACAACGCTGAAGGCTCCGTTGGCCGGTGGGAAGAAGACCAAGAAGGGGAGGTGTGATTGTATTGGAAGAGTGGCATCTCACACTGAAATCACGAATGCCGCGTGAGTAATTGCTGCGCGCAACAAACAACGCGCTGTCGATCTCTTCTGGTTGTATTTGCCAATTGCTGTGGATCTATCTGGCTGCCCAAAGTCAGAAGTGCGTGCGGCTAAATGTGCTTGTTCGGCCGATCAGCTGAGGTTGCAGCGGACCAGCAGCAGCGGCGGCGGCAGGAGCAAAAGCAAGGCGATCGGAGACACCAATTAATGCGTGCGCGCGCTCTCGTCTCATGCAAAGCAAGGGCAGCCGTTGCGTTGCGAGCTTGTAGTCCGTGGGTGCAGCAGCAGTCTCTGACTGGCCGCGTCCGCATGAAATCACACCTGCGCGCGTGATCTGCGACTGCCTGCTTACTGCTCAACCTTGACTTGTTCGTGGGCACTGAGTATGGCCGAGGAGTTGCTGTGCAGGCAAATGCGACGAGCAGAGCGCGCTTTCTGAATAACAAGAGTTGTGCGTGGCTTCTCTTGTCGCCTGCTGAACAGGCAAAGGGATTTGCGCGTCTGCCTATAGCGACGCGAAGGTCGCGGCGCAGAAGCTGATGGCCTGCAGCGTCTGAGCAAGTCACAGTGTAACCACTGGAACAGTCAGTCTCACTCGAGAGGCGTTGGGTTGCGCGCGTGTTGTACTAGCGCCGTTCAGGAACGCGGTCGAAGCACTTGGGCACTTTTTGACTACTCACATGCTCAAACAAATGACTGATGGTGATCGAACGCTGCAACTGACGCAGCTGAAGCGGAGCCGCGCACAAGCTTGGCTGCAACAGACGCCCCTGGCAGCTTCTCGTTCGACAATGCGCACCGGGAGCTCGCAGATTCGCGAGGTGGCGAGTACCGCACCGTATGAAGACCGACACCGCGCGGATCGGTCTGCGGATGAATCGAATGCCGATGGGTGGATGATCGCTGGCCGAGCAAGTGGGAGTCAGTCACAGTGCTCCCGTACGCGAAGCTGTCAACATGAACAGAGGTAGACTTATGGCTGCTCGCGTCGACATGCAAAGCGTCACAGACAATGGGTGGTTCAGGTCGGATCGCGAGCGCAAGGTCGTCGAAGTGGACATAGCAGCGAAGGAGAGCTACGGGTCAGCATAGGGCAGAACTTGATTCTCAAGGAGCCCGTGGACAGTCTGTGCCGAGACGCTCCCAGCCGATTCTGCTGGCCAATCCATTCTGATACCCTTGGCCGACTAGTACTCACCTAATAGAGCGCCAGTGTCAGAGGACCGAGGGAAGTGAGGATCGGAGGCACAGGTTGGAAGGTGTGGGAGAGTCAGAACGTTTTGATGGTGGTGGTTTGGCGTCACAGCACGCTCAAGAGATGGAGCTCAGCTCTGAATCTTGAGTATTGCTCTTGTCGACTCTGGTCAGACATGAGATGGCAAGACAGAAGTGGAGTCGAGTGAATGAAGCAGTAAGGATGTCAGTTGGAAGACGCCGAATTCAGGACCAGAGTTGCGACGCCACAAATGGCCGCCCTTCATCAGCAGCGAATGCCAAGCGCACTGAATTCATCGCGACTCGCCATGCAAATCGTCTGCGCAGATGTTAGGATTCGAGACTCTCACTTGTTGCTGTCAAAAGATCGCTCACACCATACACGCCTTGAATCGCACTTTTCGATGTACCTGGGCTGACCAACACGACCAGACAGCAAAAGTCCCTGCTCTTTAGCTTGCGGTCGCTGTACGCCCTGTTGGCTGCTTCGGGACCGAGGCGCGAGCTACGGAGAGCAAGAAGAGACGCGAGCTGTGCTCATGCAGCTGCTGTCTGACGCGTTGAAGCCTAGCTTCGTCACAAAAGACATGCCGGGATCGGGCGCAGTCCCAGAAGGAGCACGCCTGGGTGCAGTAAGCGTGCGTGCTTGTGCCGTTGAACCGAAGCTGCATGGGTCTACGCGCCTCCTTTGCCTTAATTGCCGCCCACGCCCAAGCACGTCGCTGTCTCTACTCAGCAAACTTGGCCAACGAGTGACCCGATGCGATCAATCCTGTCATCGCTCCAAATCCTACACGTCATTATCTGCCGTGATTCTGACACTGGCTTTGTTCCACTTCACGAATGAAACCAAGCACCAGTCTCCGCTCAAAACCCCGCAACTGGCGCGGCCGGTCTGTCTGTGCGTCGACTTGTGAAACCTGAAGTTTTTTTTTTGGCTCAATCGACGCACAAAAAAGCGCGGCATGGTGCATTTGATGCGGCGTCATGCACGTTGGCGTCGAGCAAGGGCATCAATCAGCAAAAGCTGTGCTTCCGGGCGCCCTTCGAGCTGCGCCATCTGCTGCAGCACGCGCGCCAAAGGGGCGCACGCGCGCGGCGCCAGGTGAGGTTGTCCTCGTCCAAGAAGTTGCAATTGATGGATGTCATGACACCCGCCATACACCATTCACTAATTCAGCTTCACGGTCCCATCACTCGCACCTCACACCTGTGACTCTCTCACGCAGCCTCGGCTAGGAATGCTCATGCCTTCAATCTGGACTGGAGTCTTCAGGATCCGTGCTCCACTCACGACTCTCGAGTCCCGGGTACCGTTGGCCCGTAGTAAGAGGTTTGCAGATCGACGGTCCATCTTGCCCGCACAAACTTGTACCCTGGTTCTCCTTCAGACCGCCTCGATCGCTAGCGCTGGAGCCAGTGGACCGTGGTCAGCCGGCCAGAGTACGCCGAGTCCCTTCTGCGTGGGCCGACTCTTATAGGTAGGGTCTCTCGATCTGGCCCGAGGTGAAAGAACAACAACAATCAATCATTCGCGAATGGCGCAACACGTGATGATAATGAGAGCGAGATCGCCCGTGCGAGTCAAGGTCTCAAATGCGTAGTCCTTATCGAGCTGGGCAGAGATGAGTCTCGAGCAGAGTCCCGATCATCTGCGAAAGCCACAGCCTCGTTAATAGATGCATTAAGTACGTAAAGTTCTGAGAATGAGGCTGACCTCGTAACGTGTCAGCGAAATCGCGCGGCCAAGCTTAGTCGGAGCCGAAGCGCTCAGGCACTGAACACATGCATAAGCAGGGACACTTGTTAGCATGGATGTATGCAAAGCTCTGGACGTTGCACCCTCACTCACTCAGGACTGGCGCAATGAGACTCCAGGCGTAAAGCACGGAGCATAGCCAAGAGCTGACTACTCGCATCCACATGGCTGTGGGCGATCGGCCAATCCACACGACGGGAGCTCCGTCTTCAGAAGGATCAGCTGAGGGCCCTCCAACCTTGACGATGCGCCTGTGGTACCAAATGAAGTCACTAAGTAAGCGGCGCGTGGGCCTCGCATGCGCGCTCCAGCGACCTGAGTGCTCACCAATCAGTCAACAGCATGGCCACATAGCATGCAGCGATAGCAAAAATGAAGTGAAAGAAGGCGTAGGAGTACCGCGTTCCATTCTTCTCGTCGTCGTTGTCTCCGCTGGATAAGCCTCCATCTCCGTAGTCGTCATCATCCTCGTCATCGCTATCCTCCAGAGCGCTAGCGGGCAAGCTTCCAGCCTCGACAGCAGCGCGAAGTGCTTGAATCTTCAAATCGTCTTTGCGAGCGGGCTGCGAAGTAATGGCGTCTGTGCCACCGCTCGCAGCTTCTGGGTCGGTCGTTGCCAATGGACCGTATCCGCTCGGAGGGGCGTTGCGGTTCGCCTTGGCTTTTCGTGCGCCGACGAGCGCCTTGGACTGGGTGGCTGCTCGAGAGGTGCTGTAAGCGATAGCCAGGAAGGTGAAGAGCGCTCCCAGCGCGACCGTCATCGGCTTGGCAGGCCCAATCGAGCGGCCTCTTGTGATGGGGTTGCAGTGTGCATCGTCGTGGTTCATGACTGCGGAGGAAATCAGGTAGGTGGTGTATGCCGCCACTATACTGCTTTGTGCCAAGCCAGACCTTGGATTGGCTTCTTGAACTGCCGGCGAGACGCAAAGTGCCGTGAGGACAATGATACCGAAGAGGTTGAGGGTGATGAAGGTGATGTTAAGCCCACAACCGCTACCAGTGAAGTAGCCGTACAGGATGCCCGTCATGACCAGCACTGCGACGTACATGCCCAACGTGCTGCCAATCAAGGTGTACTTCCAAAATGGAGCCTGCGTCGTCTCCCACTTGTCCAGACACGTCTCTGACCAGGTGTGAGCAAAGTCAATCAGCAGCACAAGTCCGAGCAGGATGAAGACGAAGGAGAGAATGAGGGCAAAGTAGTTGGCCCAGATGATGAAGAAGCCGTTGGGAATGAGGAAGGTGAGACCAATCAAAGAGAGCCAAAGCAGTACCTTTGGACCCCACCAGCTGAGATACCGAAGCAGAGGACCAGGGCAGCGCGATCAGTGGCTAGTCAAGAGAATACAGCAGACGTCGCTGTCTGTACTGACCCGTTCTGGATGGCGGCTCTCTTGTTGCGCGTGTCGTTGACGCCGATCAGTAGCAAGCCAAGAATGCAGTGAAAGAGCGAGAGGGCAAAAGTGATGCGATGCACCTGAGCGCAGATAAGGTGTCGCACAATCAGGTATTTCAAAGGTTAGCGCACGATCACTGCCATGACGACGGTTCACCAGTATACCATAGCTGTCGCAGGACCCCGCAAAACCCATCTTGAACGTTCAGCGCTGCAGGACCCCCCGAGAAGCACTCACAGCCAATACGCCGTAGCATCGATCCCTGTCAGCCGAGCAATCCATGCGCAAGTACCCTCCACTCCAATCCTCGATCTTCTTGACGATCAAGCCGTTCAAACTGATCCAAGCCAAAACAGCATCCAAAGTGAAGATGAGGGCGAACGCGATCCTGGTCGCGATGCTCGATTGGCAGTTGCATGATTTGAACAAGGACGAAGCTGCTGTCGAAGCGCAGCAAAAGGTTAGACCGGTAATTGCTGAAGTCAGAAGAGAACCACCGACGCCCACGAGAGGTATCGACAGCAGTGCACCCATTGCGCCACCGAGCTTCTCGTGAGTACGAGGTAACGCTCTGACGTCTTCCTAAACGCGAAGCTGGTGCCGGACTTTTGAATGCAGCCCTTTGGGCTTATGTAGAGATTTGTGGGCAGCGCTTATGAGCGGGTGGTGTGACAAGACTATCCGGATCACGGCACGAATGATCTGGATTAGAGATGTGAGTCACACCTGTGCTTCTGAGTGCTGAGCTCTTGATTATCGCACTCTGATGCGCACCAGCAGAATCAACAATCGTGAATCGCAGTCGTGACTGCGACGCCACAGAGACCGAATCACGTGACCTGCGTCACGCATGCAATCTTGAGTGACCTTGCCCAGCTGCTCAGATTTGCCCTGCTACTTCAGGGGAAAGAAAGGCTCTTGGGCCTTGCATCACATTGACGAATCCGAGATTGTGATTGAGCTCACACTCCGCAGTCCGATTTGCACGCGACCAACAAGCCTGTGTCGTTCCGCCGCCAAGGCGGTGTAAGGGAGAGGGCCGGGCCATCTGTCCTCTCGCACTGACAGTCAAAGGATGGGATCGGAAAGGTATATATTTATGCGCGAAGGGCCACCCATTGTAAAGAGGAACACGAAAGCATCTCACTGCCGACGACCATGGTGATTTGTATGAACCGCCGAGCTCCAAACTGATCATCGCGAGGACGGATAGGGAATTGTTAATGCAGAGAAGCAACGGAATAGCTTGAAGAAGCGTGACATTCGTAGTCCAGATGCCCCTGCGGAAGGTAGAGTTGAGTTGCGTCTTTGAAGCTCGCTATTGCGAAGGTCATCAAGGTGGTCGTGATTGCGATTGATGAGGCAAAAATTGTAGAAATTCGGAGCGCTACATCACTACGAGACGGTCTGTTGCTGAGACCGGTACATTGGGCTTGCGGCCATGTCACCCCCTGCAGAAGTACGCTTGCTGTTGCTCGCAGTCAGCGTCGCGCCGCGAGCAGCTGTGGTAGATGCGCTGCTGGTCATCGAAAGCTTGGTCGTGCGGGTCGTGCCAGGTCCGCTGGTGGTTGCGTTGCCGACGGACCTTCGCGCCCCTCCGTTGGACAATGAAGCTTGGCGGCCGTGCTGGGGTATCGGTCCAATTGCTGGAGCGTTGGTGAAGGGTCTAAGGAAAGGGTGCCTCATCGCGGGATCCGGTTTGAGTCGGCGCTCTGGGTCCCAATGCAAGCATTTCGCCAAAAAGTCCACGAAGGAATCGTCGTTCGTTCGAAGCACTTGTGCAAGCGTCTTGGTTCCAGGGCGTCTTCGTTTGCCTTTGCTGTTGACGACTGGTCGGGGCGCGCCGGTAGAATCGAAGAAGAGCTTTTTGCGAGAGCTGCGCTCGATCAAGTACTTGTCAGGCACACCAAGAATCTCCATGATGCAAGCGAGCTGTTCTTGTTCGTTCTCTCCAGGGAACAGGGGGTAGCCGGTGTACAACTCTGCAATGATACAACCCAAGCTCCAAATGTCGATGGCCGTGTTGTAGTTCATCCCGAGGATGACTTCCGGAGAGCGGTAGAAGCGACTTTGGATGTACGTGTACACCTTTTCTTGTTCGAAGCAGCTGCTGCCGAAGTCGATCACCTTGATGCCACTCTTGCGAGGATGCCTCAGCAGAATATTCTCTGGCTTCAAGTCGCAGTGCACAACTCTGTGGTGCCGCATCAGACTGAGCGACGCAAGCACTTGACTGGTGAAACGCCTGATTAACCGCGTGCTGAAGCCAGCGAAGCTATTTGCCTTGATCAACTCGTACAAGTTGATGCTCAAGAGCTCCATGGCAATGCAAAGGTGATTGCGGAAGTAGAACGATTCTGTCATCTTGATGACGTTATATTGCTCATCGGGGTCCTAAAGTAAACCGACATTAGCGGTGACGTGTCAGCGAGCGAGGGTGTAACGCAGCGCATCGACCGCCATGATTCACTCACCCATTCGGTGAGATTTTTGAGGATCTTCACCTCGACCAACGCCTGGTGGTGGAATCGCTTCTTATTTCGAATCAACTTGATGGCGACAAACTTGCCGGTCCTGTGATCCTTGCACTGCAGTACCTGGCCGAACGAACCTCGACCGAGCAGGTCCATGATCTCGTAGCGGTAAGCCAGGTGGTCACGGTTGACGACCAGATAGTCGCCGCGCTCGTCATCGTATCCATAATTGCAATCCGACTTGCTGGGCACGGCAGGTTTCTTGGCCGGATTTGAGCCCACAAAGTAAATTTCTTTGTAGTCGTACATCTCCTGCATCTCGTAAGCAGACAGCTTGTCGCCCCACACCGCTTCCGCCTCTGTGCAGCGCGCAAATGGCACGTATCTAGAATATCAGTACGGTTGAGTGATGCGACCAGCCATCTGCAGAACATCAACTCACGCCTTGGAGAGTAAGCTCGGCTCGGTGGCACCGGATCGGGAAATCTGAGCATCTTCTCCAATTCCTCCAGACTACTCCCATCTGCGATCTTCTTTGCGTGCTGTCGTTTGATGTAAGCTTCCATCTCGGCATCGCCTTGCAATTCTTCCTCGTCAACGCGCGGGCTGACACTGGCAGTGCGGCTCGTCCGGTCCGAGTAGGCAGGGCTTGCTCGAGGAGCCGAGGCGCTTGTAGCAACTGCAGACTGTCGGGGCACACTGCGCGGGGCCAAAGCACTGTCGCGGGCTTGGCGCGCACTTGTGGAGGCGGCAGTGAGAGAAGCGCGTACTTTGCGAGGAGCGGTGTTGCTCTGAGCGCTATTAGCACTGACGGCAGCAGACGGCAGAACGGTGGATGAGGTCGACTGAGTCACAGCTCGGCGAGTGGAGTGAGCTTCACCGGGCTTCAACGATCCCCGCGGCGTCGCAACACTGGGCGTCGTTCCGTCGTAAGAGGAAGAATTTCCAGCAGCCTTACGTTGTTCTTGTCTGGAAACAAGCGAATTGAGAACTTCGCGTTCGCTGGCAGATAGCGCACTGGAGTACGAGGCTACGCGTGCTCTACGCATGACGACTTCTAGTTCGGCAGGCGTTTTGGCAGCTGCATACGAATTCAAGATTGAGACCAAGCTCGTCGAAGAGGCTCCAGCTGCGGCATTGCCGCCCGCAGCACCGTACGTCTCCGAGCTCTTCGCACCAGACAGTGACTTTCTCCTTGTAGCAGTTGCATCTCCAACATCGGACGCCGAGATGATAGAAATTGCATCTTCTTCAGAGCCAATGCCCATACTTGAGGCCAACGAGGATGTGGTGACGCTCTTGGGTAAACCTGCAGCGCCGCTCGTGCTGACGCGCCTGTTGATTTGGGAAGATGTGCTCGATCCGAGGGGCCTAGTTCCGAGCTGACTCCGGGAAGGCGTAGACTTGAGAGAAGCAAGTGCACGAGGGATGCGGCTTGCGAGGGGCCTTGAAGGCGAAAGCTGAGAATCGCGGGATCCAGCGCCGGCTGCAGGATCATTGGCCCCAAGTGTGGCGCCTTTACCAGCCGCCGCAGCGCGTTCGCGCTGACGAGCTGCTGATGCGCTCAAGTCCCCAGCGGAATTCGAGTTGGCCAGAGCACGCCGAGGAGACATGAGCGCGTCGTGACTGCGGCCACTGACGGACGTTTTGCGGGGTGAAGCAGTCGAAGAGACGGGAGACTGAAGAGGGGCGACTTGCATGGGCGGAAGAGTCGCTGCCTCGACAGCTGGAGGATCTGCCGATGACGGCAACGTCTGAGGCGCCCATGGGAAATGATCGTTCAGTACCTGGAAGGAAGTCTGCGCTGCAGAGCCTGTACTTACCATGCCACGTTTGCGAGCACTTCCCATGATGTTCGAGGGACGGAACTTGGAGGTGCGAGGCGAAGCGTCCGCAGCTTGCGAGGACTCGAACGAATTATCCACGCTGATGGGGCCATGCTGCCTATCCGTTGTACCATTGGTCTGCACAATGCTCTGCCGCGAGCCCTTGCCTCGGAGCAGACTTCCCAGGCCAAGGATGGAGCGCGTGCGGCTCATGCGACCAGAGTTGGCTGAAGGGGCATGAGAGTCTCCGCTGCGCTTCTCGTCGCGAGACTCTCGTGTGCTCGAGTCGAGTTGGAGATCAGATCCCGTACGCTTCTCCACAGAGGATGATTCAGATCCAGCTCCTTCCCCAGCCTTTCGTGCTGCTGCTTTGTTTGAGCGCATAGACGTCTTGCCGTCGCGTAGGCGAGCGACGGCATCGTCGTTTGAGGAGCTCTTGCCGCTTCGTTCCGAGGTGATCGATTGCACCGCAGGAGAGTTGGGAGTCTTTTGCGAGTCCGCAAAGCTAGGACGAGGCGCCTTTTCTGACTCTGCATCTGTCGAGACAAAGGTATTGGCGGTCACACTTGGTCGACGCGAGACAATGGGCGACGCTTGCGCTTGCGACTCGGCACTCTTCTTGAGAACGGATGGGCTGCGAGAGAAGGAACCTGCCAAGTTCGAGAAGCTCCACTTGCGCGAGGGAGCCTTCTCTTTCGGGCTCCGAACAGGCGATGCCGCGTCGGCGCTTGACGTGTGAGGCGCATGAGCACTCAGCGCATGGCTGACGAGGGCGGAGCCGGACACCGGAGGACCATCGCCTGTGCCCGTGCTGCCCGCGCGCGACCGAGACTCCCAGCCCTTCGGAAGAGGAGGAACAGGCGGGACCGAAACGCCATTACGCGAGCGATCCTCTTCATCGGCCGCACCGCGATGAAGGGCATTGCCAGCGCCCTGCCCTGTCTGTCTCGGCTGCTGCCGTGCGCCTCCGCCTTGAGACTGCTGTTGAAGGTCGCTGTGCACCGAAGCGTCGCTCATACGCTTCCGATCCGACGCAGAGTACTTTGTGTCGCGAGAGGCGACAGAGGTCTGGGAGGTGCGACGATTCTCCAGCGTCGTGTCGACATTTGGCAGCGGGGGCAACTGCGCTCGGCGCGTCCGGGGACTAGGAAAGACGGCCGATCTGGGACTCTCAACACTGGCAGCGCTCGGCGAAGCCCGCTCTTCTCCGGAGCGAGATTTGGCAGCAAGGTTGCGGGATGTGCGAGCAGTGTTGGAAGATCTCGACTCTTCCCTTTGACGATCGTTGCGAGGTGTCAGTGTTCCAGTTGCCGTGCGGTTGGGCGATGCTGGGCGACTTGCGGCTCCGCCAGGCGTCCTGCGGCCTGCACTGCCAGGTCGCGAATACTGCTTACTCGTGCGGGGGCTGCGAGAAGCATCCCGGTGCCTCGACGCATCTCTACTCGATCTGGGCGTGCCGCCTCCGCCTAGCCCATCCAGCTTGCGCAGAGCTTCGGCCGCAGAATCTTCTCCTTGTCCACTATCGAACGAAAGTTCAAACTCCTCAGCAGCGCCCAACGGCATCGATCCCCGCAGCAGGGAATGTCCGATGCTGGCCGAAGAAGCACGCTTCATCGCGGCTGTTGCGTGGCTCGCATTGCCGCTGCTGCCGATGGTGCCCGAGGGAACGCTAGGACGCGTGCGCTCACCACTATTGCCTGAACTCGTAGTCGGTTGTCTTGACGAGCCTCCGCTGTGAGGTGGCGATAATGGGCCCCGTGTTCGGCGGGTGTCTCGGGACGTGATGCTTGCTGCACCGCTAGAAGGCTGTGCAGAGGTTGCTGTAGAAGGCCGAGAAGAGATAGCTCGTGTGGAAGACCTGCGGCTACTCTTTGCCGCACCATCGGGAGTCTGTCTAGAGACTGTTGAGCGTGCAGTAGAGGTCTGAGACGTCCGCTTCGATGGCACAGTCGCTGAAGCCTCCATCGAAGTTGGCCTGGACGTCGAGGGACTGGTGTCTGTGCCTGCGGCAACATCCCCTGCTGCACCGCTACGGCGCTTTCGCCTCTCCTCGTCCTCCTTCAGCAGATCAGCAATGGCAGCGTTGAGGTCGAAGCTGCCATTGACAGACTCATCATCCAGCTGAGCCAGATGTCGCTCGAGTGCAGTACCGCGACGCACACCGGGCGCCAAGGACATGACACGGCCAGGACTGCGGCTATTGTCATCCCCGGCCCCACCCCAACCGAAAGGCCCGTTTTCATCCTCTGACCACACCAGATCTCCAATCCTTGGTGAAGGCCGAGCATCCTGCGCAAACTTGCGCGGCGAAAGGAGAAAGTCGTTGGTGTCGTCGCCGTGCATCGCATCCGACTCTGACTCCGACAGCGCGTTGATCGAAAAGGTTGGGCTCTCCCCGGCATCCTCCGCATCCAATCCTGCTCCACTGCCGTCTTCACCGGGTGGATATCCCCGGGCCAGCGTCGCCAGCGATGTCTGTCCTCCCAGCGGGGGCACGTACAATGGCATTGATGGACTGGCTTTAAGCATGCTCTCGCCACTCCCAGTCGGCTCTGGCGAGACGCGCAGCAAATTCTTCTCGCGCTTGACCGGATTCGACGCAGAATACGAGATGGCGCGAGAGTGACGAGATGCCTCGGCTTCGCGTGCTGTTCGCTCCGTCTTGGAGCCGGAGATCGCTGTGGCGGGGGTTGGGGCAGCGCGACCTCCGACAGCACCGCTCTTGGTCGATGTGCCGGACTGTTGGCGAGCGAAGGAGCCAGTCGAGGCGCCGCTCCCAACGATTGAGGCCTGGCCGGATCGCAATTGGCGATCCGCTGCAGGCGAAGAGATACTCTCGTCTACCCGTCGAGGCTTGCTCGCCCACTGGGCTGAGGAGCTTCCCACGTTCCATCGCGGAGTAGCCAATTCTCCGATGCCGACCTGGCCAGCCCTGTCATAGCTGATTGACCTGGTCGAGCTCGCTGAAGGTAGCGAAGGGGAAAGCGGGCCACTTCCTGCTTTGCCTCGCTGTGGGGTTTGCTGTGGGCGTGCACTGGCAGCTGCAGGTCCCACGCCAGACCTGCTTGATCGTGCCGAGGGCAGCCCAATGCCGAGTCCTGACATTGTCTGATTCTGAGCGAGCTCTAAAGCAGGCGTGCTAGCAGCGCTGGGAGGACCTGATGAGGCTGGGCTGCTGCTCGATGTCAGACGCGGTCCACCAGTGCTTGCTCCACTAATGCTGCCCTTGCGATCTGAGAGTTTCAAAGCTTTCGATCCGTCAGGGGTTCCCTCGACTGAAGAAAAGTTGGAAAAGCGTGATGCAGGTTGAGGAGACTCGTTGAAGTTCAGGTGCAGATTCGGTTTGCGAGAGGTCGTGGGTGTTGTGCCATTCGCATCGCCACGCGACCTAAAGCCGCTAGGCGATAGAGCGCCGCCACCGGAGGCTGAAGCCGTGACTTTAGGGGTGAATGGTGCATGATATTCAGCAACGAGAGATGAGCCGCGACAATGACGGACCTGACACCCATGTGGAGCGCACAGTGATCAGCCAAGCGGAAATACTCACCTCTAGTGGGACGTGCAGCCGGTGGACCCATCGTCGATGAAGCTAAACCTGCCTGTCCTGCTCGAGTCGATGCGCTGGAGGGGATGCCCACCGATGAGGAGACCGATCTTCGAGCGCTCGAAGACAGGGTTCCATCATCAACACTCGGTGCACCACCAACCGAGTAGCTGACGGACCGGTCGCCGTTGCCTCTGCTCCCCAGCAAGGTGTCTTTCAACCTGGAAGCGTTTGTAGTGCCGCTTGTGACATTTCTGGGAGAAGATGGAGGCTCATGCCTGCTCGGCAGCGCAGAATTAGCGCCACGCGGAGTACGACCTGTCTGACTTTGCACCGACTCGTTCGAAGGTCTAGATCTGACAACAGATGTACTAGCTCGAGTTGAAGGCGAAGGAATACGGGAATTGCTGCTGGCGTACTGCTCGTGCGCAGCGCTGTGATAGGAAGACATGCCGTGAGAGCTCGATTGCGAGTTCGGAATGCCGACTTCGCGATCTCTTAAGTCATCAGTGGATGTTGATGAGCCGATGTTTGACTTGCCTATGGTCGATAGTCGACGAGAGCTGGCCGATCTGGATATACCACCGCTGCTGCTGCTACTGCTGCGAGAAGGAAGAACCGAAGCGTCTTGGATTGATAAAGGTGAAGCAATGGAAGATCGGGAAGCAGGCTTGCCTCTTCTCGGTGTTGTTGCAGCCGTGTGCACCACCCTGCGACGATTTGAAGCCGCGCTCGCAGGAGACGATGTCGTCACGCTGTTGCGGTGGATTGGCATTTGAGTCCTATCGGTGTGCTGCGCCGAGGTTTGCTGCAGACTCGACCTTCATGCGTCTGTGCAGACCCAGTCTTGCAACAACAAGGCCAGCGTGTCTTTGACTCGTGCGATCCTTCTTCAATCCAAGCTGTTGAGCGCGCTGAGATTGATGCTCTCGCGGACTAGCGGGTGGTCAGGTAAAGACACGTGTTGGTCTCTATCTGCGCACGCCGAATAGAGTCGCGATGGGTTAAAACAGCGGACGCGCTCAGTGCGCACTCAACCTTGGATGAAATTGTCCGCCTCTAGCTATGGCCTTGAGATCCAGGCCGAAAGAAATAAGACACCTCAGCCGCACTGCGATGCTAAGCTGCGCGCTTGATGGTCTGCGTCGGCGCGACGCAGCTGTCGCTGTTGCTGGAGAAGTGAGGAGCCGACAATTTGGTAGCGGCGTGACGCAACGGCAGAATGCGACGGGCCGATGCTGAGAGGGTGATGAAGGGGCATGCAGCAACAACCAGCACCCTGGTGAGCCGCGTGTCAGTGCAACACGCTGACCTTGGTAGGTAGCGGTGTAGGTGTTGGCGACAAAGAGACTCGAAGCTCAGAACGACCTCCTACCAGTGTGGCGCAGCGTGGAGCGGCCTGGCTTTAAGGAACGATGTGGGCCTTTGGTGAGGTGGTAGGTAGAACACCGCAAGATGATGGGGCTCTCCTGACCAGAATGAAGTGGCTCTCCTAACCAGAATCGAGCGTTAGCCGCAATTGGCTGATGAGTTGCTCTGCAGTTCATCACCTGTGCGGATGAGCGACTGATGTTCTTGCGAATGATGTGCAGGCAAGCAGACATACAGGTACAGACGCTGCGCCGGGGAGGAGAGAGAGAGAGAGAAGGAACGCGCTCCTGTTCGTTGGCTGACTGTGCTCCTGCACGCGCGACTCGCTTCTGTACGTAGGCCCACGCGCATTGGGCAGCTGTTGTGTGGCCTGCATGTGTGTACTGTAGCTCAATAAAAGGCGGAGGCAACTCAAGCTGCTCTTCCACGCACCGCACCTGCAGGCGAATCGAGAGGCTAGTACAGTAGTGCAAGTGAAGCGGACACAAACAGCCGCACACCGCCCCGTCGGACGGTGTGTGCCCAGTCACGAGTACTCGTGGCCGCGCGTGCGCTATTCCTGCCTGGTCCATGCAGCACAGCAGCAGCCCTTCGGACCGACTAGCTAGTGGGACACGCATGCAGCTGTACGGCAGCAGTGAGCTTCGCAGTCTGAGTCGTACAGCATACACCATACATACACCTACGCAGAGACACACCATCTGCAGCTGATCCGCTTTACCGCAGGTGTCGCGGAGGGTCTGCATATTCACGATTAGCATTTAGCAGCGAAGGGTCAGCTTCAGCCACTGGAAAGTCTCTGCAGAAATGAGAGATGCGACCATAATCGACTGCTGCATTCACATTCACATTCAAATTCACATTCACATTCACATTCACATTCACATTCACATTCACATTCACATTCACGATGCGTGATTCACCTCATACGCAATCCGGAATTCACCTGCTGATCCGATTGATTCACACTTGACTCTGCTTTCACACAGCGCGGCGGGCGGCCTTCTGCAGGCTGTGTTCCCCAGAGCTATGTAGGCCAAGCTGGCAGCATCAATCATCTATTCACGATTGAGTTTGGCTCGGGCGAAGGCCGCTCGCTGCCTCTATGGTACTGTACCGCAGCAGCATACATGCAGCTCAGTCTGGCCGGGCTATATCTATAGCATGCGTTTGCAGGCTCGAACTTTACACCTGATGAAACGGGGAGCGGAGCCCATAGCTGTGGTTGTGAAACACGCGCGCGCCGTCGATCCAGGGTCGAGAGCACCGCGGGGTCTCACCCACGCTGCCGCGCGCGTACGCGTGGCGCCCCGACCGCACGCGCGAAAGGGTCGATCGCACCTTATTCACGTTCTACTTAAGTTGCTTGCCAAGTATGGTCTAGCAAAGTACCTTACCATCCAGATACTCTGGTGCGCCTGACTGAGCGTTTAAAAGAGCCTGGGAAATGCGGTTGGTGTACGATCACGAAAGGCGTACAAGGAAAGGAATGTGCTGCTCTGAAATCAAACGGGGTGTGACCTACTAACCGTTCGCGTAGTCTTGAAAGCTGGGAACGGCAGAGCCGGTCACAGAGTGGATTTCGAATGGCGAGTGGGGAGGGAGCTTGGGACTCAGTCGCCTAGTGTGATCAACCCCTGGATCACAATCGTGAATCGTGAACAGTCAATGAGTGAGGAAGGCTGCCCGAGACTTGAGTCACGTGAGTGCAAGCGTCTCCGGGGAACCTCCCGCACGAAGACTGGCTGGCTGAGGGACGAGGCGCTCGATCGGCGTGATCGCCGCGCCCGATGTCGTCGTGCTGCAGGCGGGCGCTTGCCGCGACCTCTCCTGCTCACAAAACGCTGATTGATGCCTGCTAAATTCACGACTCTTCTCCTCACGTGTGCTGCTGCTTCCTCCATCATCTACTCGACTCGCATCAATCAGCGTTCCGTCGTTTCCTGGTCGCCTCACCTCTTGCATCGTCTCCACGAAGACTGTCTCGCCTTTTCAAGACGCCTACCTGACCAGCAGGTCGTTCGTTCGGCCCTATCGGAGCTTCTGGCGTATCAACCACGCTATCAGCTTACACGACACGTCGCGCGAGCTGCATAAACACATCGCCATCCCGGCAGGTGAATTCTCAAGATCCTAGACTTCGCCCTGCTTTTCGCAGATAGGCGACGTTTCCCGTTGTGTCCGAACCTAGCATACAGTCCATCAGCATGTCAACCACCTCTCGCGCCATGTCTGCGATCCCAGCTGAGGAGCTACCCATCCTCGAAGCTCTGATAAGGTAAGCTGAGCTCAGCACAGCACAATCCTCTACACACATGTGCTGACACCAAGCTTCATCACGCGCTAGCATTCGCAACCGTTTGACTGCACTCAAGAAAGACTCAAGCGAGTTCATCAGACCTCAAGATGTCCAACAATTGTACAAGGAAGTCATCAAACAAGGTGCGATATGAGCGCGCTGGCAAGGCACACTCAGCTGGCAGCCGAGCATTACTCACCATGAGCATTGCTGCTCGTGCCATCTTTCTCCCTGACTTCGAAACAGTCACGCGACTGAATACGGTCCGCGACGAGGCAATTGCGAGCGAGGTCTCCACTTCGGATCCGCCACGCGCAAGCACATCAACTTCCAGGGGTGGAGAGGCAGGCAGCGGGGGCGGAGAGGTTGACACGGCGGCGCTCGCGGCCACAAACAGAGTAGACACGACACTGAATGACGTCTTCAGCCTGCTTAGTCTCTTCTTCCTCACGATCGGAAAGAGCAGAGAGACTCCTGCCACTTTCAGTCAGATCGGGTGTATGAAGGTGAGCGGTCGGAGCCTTGATTCGGAATAGAGTCCAGAAGCGCCCGAGGCCAGCAGCAACGATGTAAGCGCTCAGACGTCTTCTATTGCGTACAATCTTCCTTTTGCACTGCAGCAATTGCTCGATCATCTTGCTGAGTCTGGCATCTACACGGAAGCAGACCTCCAGCCCTTCTCCAAACGACTGGCAGAGCTTCGTGCTATCATCAAAAAGGACGGCGATGCTGGCAAGCACCCTGTTCAATTGACTAAGCTCATGACCAGAAAACTTGAGGCTTGTGGTGCGTGGGAGTGCAACCATGACTCGTCCCGAGCTTGGAATGTCCTAATTTAAACCCCCTTGATACTTTTGACTCCTCACAGAGAAAGTCTTGCGGACTCTGGAGGGCACGCTATCGGTTTTGTCCGTGGAGCTCGTCCCAATTCATCAGAGATTGGTCAGTGTGCGGCGTCAAATCGCAGCAGCTGCTGCAAAGCCAAAGCCCACCAAGCAAGAAATCAAACAACTGCAAGAAGAGTTGCGAAAAATCGACAGCAAGCGAGTGGACGGGAAATTTTTGGGTCCCGGCGGATCTTCTGTGCCTGCTGGACAAGCCATCTTGGTGGGCATCCTAGAGGACTGCTTCGAGATTTGTCACGACATCACAGTCAGGAACGACGACGTGCCGCACACGCTCCAGCCCATCCACGAGAGGCTGTCTGAGATCTGCGGTCAGCTAGAGCACCTAGTCCTCACGCATCGCTGGACGCTCAGAGAGACGGATCTCTGGAATTACCAGGTTACACTCAAAGAGATCGACAGGCTGCGAGTGAACGGTAAATTCGTGGACAGCGAGGGCAAGCAGCCAGAGGGCCAGCTGGTTCTCCTTTACCTACTGCGGAGATGCTATGGACTGATCTACCGCTTGGTGGCCTCCTCAGAGCCGATCTCAGAGGAGCTGATGCCGATCAGCAACAAGCTCTCGACAATTTCAAAGTGCCTGAAGGAAGTCTCCAAGTATGGAGGGCCTTTCACGATGAGGGACTTGTACCCTTACAGACTTGCTTTGCATCAGATTGACGGGATGCGCAGCGATGTCAAGGACAAGGAAGGCAACGAGACTGGAGTAAAGAAATGGCTGGGTCGAGATGGCAGCGTCCCCGAGGGCCAAGCGATCCTGCGAGCTCAATTCGAGGAGGTGGAGCAGACCATCGAAGAGAGTGAGTGGCGCAATGTGCATGCCCTTTCTGGGCAAGGTCGCTCTCTGACATCGGCTCGTTTCTATAGTGCTCAATCGCGAAGAGGATGATGATGATGACGATGACGAGGGCGAAGATGAGGACTGGGAAGGTTCGGCGGCTAGCGGAGAAGTTAGTGACTTTGACGACGAAAGCGTGGCTAGCGAAGGCGATGACAGTGGTGATGGCAGAACATCCAGAAGCGGTCCTGGATCGACTGCCGTGTTCAGCCCTTTCAGTCCAAGCCTCAGTGATCCCTTTAACAACACAGCTGGGCCTCAGCAACCTCATATGAGCCCCTCGCTGAGTGCGATGGCCGCAACTGCTCAGCAGCTTGCTCCGCCATTCGCTTCATCCTCGCCCACCACACCAAGCACGGCTAGGCCAGCACCATCGGCTACTGTGGCACCCCCTCCCGGTGGTTTTTCACCTGCAGGCCTGCAAACCTTGGATCGCAGCCAAGGATCTGCCGAAGGGAGCGGTGCAAGCGCAAATTTGTCCACCGCGGCAGCATCTGGCCTTGTGGCGACTTCAAGCCTCGACGATGGTGTTCCGGCACTGCAGCCATTACCGCCCGGAGCGGCACCACTAGCAGTGCCTGGACCCTTTGCTCCTCCACCCGTCGATGAGATGCCCATCCTATCCGGTCTCACAGCGAGAGAAGGTCATCCCGCCTTGGTCAGTGATGGTTTGGCTCTGAGCGCTAGTCCTCCTGAGCAACCTGCTTCTTCAGTCGATGCACTCAGAGCTCAAATGATGAGCACCAACATCTCCACGCCCCTCTCTTCTCATTCTTCTGCTGGTCCAGCCGTCTAGATCCCCTCGCCCTTTGTATCCTTAGCATACGCGGTGCATTCCGCTAGACTAATGTCGAATCGAAAAAAAATTGTCAAATCATCACCCCTTCATGTCTGGCTATGCGCAAAGCGATGCGCCGTCCCGTCATTCTCACTTCGAACGCGATCGCGATGCGGGCACGTGTTTAGATTGGCTAGGCTCACGACAGCATGCCTCGCATACCGCCTTGGTTGCTGTAATACATAGGCGGCAAATTAGGATGTGGCACCGCAGTGTACTTGTGAAAGACGTATGTCCCTCGTTCGTCGACGCGCGCAAAGGCCTGCATGGGCAAGGTAGAGGGAAGGCGATGAACAAGGAGCTTCTTTGCAGGCCCACGCGTTGATGTAGCAGATCAAAAACGAGCACTCACCCCTTCATTTGCTCCTTGGTCGCAGTAATTTGGAGCTGAGAAGACGGTGCATATCAGACCCTCGTGTTCCTGTCGCGAATGACAGCGGCCAGACGAAAAGCAAATGAGCTTCGTGCGTTCCCTACGCATCCTGTCAGCTCGCACCAGACTCACCTCATCGTACCCCGCTTGCCTGACCTCGTGACTTCTGAACACCGCGGTGATTTTGTTCAGTGTGCACCAAGCCTTGCTGATGTCCGGTCCAAATCCATACCCAACGCCTCTCTTGGATGGCGCTCTGCCGTTGGCAGCACAAGGGTCGGCCCAGAGCATGTCGTGCATGATGCCCGAATTGGGTGGTTGTCCGCCAGCGGCGAACCTGTTCACAGCTCTAATGTTGTCCAACGTAACGCCGTCTTGAGCAAATAGACCTCCGTGAACCACAAAGAAGCGCTTAATACCTCCATCGAAGAGGATGGGTTCTCGCTGCGCTTTGGAAGAGCCAGATGGCAGCTCCGAACCCGGAATGGCGGGCTTACTAGCGGTGATCAAGGTGGCTAGCGGCAATGACACGAAGACGTCGGTAAAGACTTTGTATGCTGCGCATCGCACGAATGAAGACCAGAGACGCGGTGCATGATGAGCAACCCCATTCCTGTGCGCGCTCGAAATACGCTCACTCACTCATCTCGTTGAACTTCGCCTTGCATTCCGCCTCAAACCCATAAACAGTGTTCATATCGTGGGTCTCATGGTTGCCTCTGCGAACAGCTCCCGCTGCGTCAGATACTGGGCGCATCGAAAAGCTCGGTTGAAAGACGACTCACCGGTTGAAGAAACAAGTCTTGGGATAGAGCCACTTGTAAGCTAAAATTGTGAGCACAACTTCGCAGCTCCAAGAGCCTCGATCGACAGCATCGCCATTGAACAAGAGGGCGTGGGTATTCGATGGCCTTCCAGTCTTTGAGAGGAGATTCAGAAGATCATAGTACTGTCCGTGGGTATCACCGATGACGTCGATTGTCTGTCCTTCGGGGACTGTATAGTCCACAATCGTCCCTGTAGTGGCGCACCGAGGTGACAATTGAGCTTCTGAGGAAGTATTGAGGTGCTTCCAGCTTGCCCGGGCTCCGCTCACCTTCCTTCAGGAATTCCCGCTGAGCGCCAAGCATGATCTGCCAAGCATACCGCATAGGCAACCGTTTTCCATCTTTGAACCACTCTATCATCTTGTCGATGAAATCCTGATTGAAGGGAAATCGGTGCCGCATGAGCGGGCGGCTTGTAAGGTCGGTCTAGAGGAGCTTTCGCGCTTACCTGATCGATAGCGCCAAGGAAAGGTCCTACAGCGTTCGGATCGTCACCCTCTTTCGCGAATGGTCCCTCCTTCAATTTGGGACCCTCGTAGCCCTCTTCCACGTGCACGGTAGGTAGATTTTCTCTGAGCGTCTCCAAGGCTCTCTGCCAAGCTTTTGGTCCATCCTGCTTCACGATTGCCTTCTCGAATTGTTGTCTACGCAGCAGCTTCGTCGTCGCGTCCACCTGACCTCTGATCGTCTTATTGTTGGGCTCCAACTGGGCTACCCTGCGCAAGTCTGGCAAGGCTGATTTCGGATCTAGAATCGAGAGAAATGCTGAGGCTCTGCGATAGTAGGCTTTGGCGAAAGATGCGTCCAAACAGATGGCTTTGGCTGAAGAGGGATGAAGTTGCAGAGTGTGAAAGTCAGCCATGTATGCGCCCTTTCCTTACTCAATCTGAGCCCCCTCCTTTGCATGTTTGCGCCGCTGTCTTGCAGAAACAACATCATCATGCTCTGCATCTTCGCACCTTGACCCAATGCGCCAAAGATGCTCATTGCCTCATTTCCCTCTGCAAATTGTGTCCGGCTTGTCTACTCACTTGCATCCTCGATGGCCAAGCCGTGCTGCTCCAACTTGAGCTCGCAGGCGGCTCTGTTGCTCCAGAACTGAGGCACACTGGGATCCAAAGCGATAGCTTTGCCAAAGGCCACCTTAGCACCTTCGTAATCATGTTTCAAGAAGAGTTGATTTCCCTCATCTTTCAATTTGGAAGCAGCACCCGAGCGCTCCGAAGGGGACAATTGTGCAGTCTTTGAGGTCGGACTGGGAGGAAGATCCGAAGAGGTTGCGGATGGGAGGATTGGAGAGGAGGAGGTGGAAGGGATGGACGTTGAGGTGGATTGCTCTTCCCCGCCAATGGAGAGCGTGCTGGAAGCTGCTTCGGTGTCTGATGCCTCTGGCGAAGACATGTTAGATGGCGAGTCGCAGGCACTGTCGAAGCGGTCCCGCCGAAGGGAAAGGCAATGAGCAGCAGTGCAGAAATGGGAGGACGAGTGGTTGCAGCAAGCGCAAAGGTGAGGATGATTCCAGTGTCTGGCTGGTCAAGCGATGCAAATGAGAAGGATGTGCTTCCGATAGGGGGTTCCACCGTCACGGTAGAGAGGAAGCATCTACGCGAGCAACAACCAGAGCAGCATCAGCATCCACTCGCAAATGATGAATCGTGAGTGCACGCACACATCTTCTCGCACGTCGAAAAATCTCGCTTTGCTGCTATTCAAATTGAAACGATCAGCCGCAAGGGCAATCGGCGTCGTTCGTGTGCTGCACGCACGCATGCATCATGTCTGCTGCGCGTGGGGTTTCAAACAAGTGTCCACACGTGACAGACACTCACGACTGCTGGATGCTGCGCACTCAACTCTTGACTCAACAATTCGATGAGTGTCACGCGATACACCGCACCGCACCACCTTTGCAAGTTGAGATGCGCTGAGAAACGCACAGGTACCGTATACCTGTTCCTCCGATCGGTCTGTGAGTAGAGTCACAGTGGCGAGTGGTGTGCGAGCTGTGGGTTGCGAGTTGACATCGCAAAGCCCGACACGCAGCTCCTTTCGAATCCTCCTTCAACTCGTATATACTTGCCCAGTGATGCAGACAAGCAAGCAGCAAGAGCGGCACCAAGAGGAGAGAGGCAGCACATCTGAGCGAAGGTGCTTGCTGCGGCACATTCGCGACTCGACGAAGGCACAAGAGGCTTCATCGTGTCGTTGCCATGCGATGGTCGGCCATCAAGAGCGATGAAGCTGCCAGCAGCCAGTATCGTTGGCCGCTGAAATCGTATCCACTTTGAGCATAGCTGCGGATCCCCATTTGGCTCAGGATGGCACCCAAAAGAGCTCATCCTGACCCCGAAGGAGCCCGCGCTCGACCCAAGCATGGCAACTTCTCATCTTACTACTCCATCAGAGCCGAACATGCGTCTTCGGAGTCTTTGAAAAGCATTGGACGAGGAAGAGATGCAAGTGAAAGCAAGCGACCGACACACGTCTCGTCCAGCAGTGTGGATCCTAGGCTTGACGTCGTGGTGAAACACATCCAGCAGCATGTCAAGACGTTTACAGGGGGCGCTTCTTCGAATGACGAGATGTATGGGACTTGGCCTACCCGGATATTGGATGTCGGCTGCAACGAAGGCAGGATGACATGCGCAATGGGTCAGTCAACTGCGTCCTAACTCAGATTAGGGGCCCAAACAACTTACGACCAAATTCGTTATACCAGCGAGTGCCTTCCCGAACGCTCAATCACACGGCGTGGACATTGACGAGTCGTTGATCAAGCGCGCTGGGGCTTATTCTCGTCGCATGGGTTTCTCACCATGCGTGGATCCACCGCGCTGTATCGGCTTGGACAAGGACGTCGCATCGAGTACGCAAAAACAGAGTTCCGCGCATCTAGCATTTCATACGGCGGACTGGCCCAGGCTATCCATCGAGAAAGCTGTGTTGACCAGTCAACGTCACATCTCAGATGTTGCACCATCTCAACACACTACTGAGCTGCTCGCATCGCGGAGGCAAGATCGTAGAGAGCTCTGCTTGAGCGCTCTTGCGCATGAAGACGATCAAGGCTGGGACGTAATCCTAGCGTGAGTCTGCTGAAGAAGTACATCGCTCACTCTCCATCTCATCCTTGGCTGTTTAGTTTAATCGCTTATCAAATGCTCTTCTTCAGGCTTTCAATAACCAAATGGATCCACCTTTCCCACTCCGATCTCGGCATTCGGCACTTCTTCAGCCGCATTGCTCAAACCCTGTCCAAAAGGCCCCTAGGTGGCATTCTGATCCTCGAACCGCAACCCTGGAAGTCGTACGAGCAGGCCAGGCGCGTAATAGGTGCTGAAGGTAGAAGAAGACACAAGAAGCTGCGTCTTCGACCTGAAGATTTCCAATTCGTACTGATGATGGAGCTGGGCTTCGCAGAGCCGGTGCGGCTGGGCCAGACGGCAGGCTATGGTGCGTAGCAGACAGGCTTCACTACGCGCACGCCGCCATCGATCCGAGTTGAACACGTGTAGCCCCTCTCACCAATCACTTTTGCCCCTTCTCCTTCTTCCTCTCTTACAAAGGCTTTTCACGAGACCTTTACGCGTACCATGTACCTCCCGTACAGCGCACACCAGCGTCCTACATCTCCCTCAGAGATCAGATCTGTAGCGAAGCAGAGCGCCTAGCAAGGCACTCTCTTGACAGCGCGAGCTTCTCTTTGCATGATCAGTGGACGAGCAATGACCAAGCAGGAGAAGATACCGCGGTTGCATTCGCCTGGGTGGCCAGACCTTTCTCTCAGCCTCCCGCCCCGCGGCCGGACGCTGACTCGTGATGCGCACATCCAAAATCACTTCGCCGCACTGCACAATACCACCAGCACATTTCGAAGTTGTATGATTCATTGTTAAGCGCCAAGATCGCGCGGACGAGTCTGACAGAGTACAAAGCTTGTTCGTAGAGCGGATACTGTAATCGTATATGTGAGCGCAAGTGATTGGAAACGTGTGAGGGGATTGCTGTCACAAAATTGAGTGGGGTGTGTCGAGTCTTTGCGGTCGGATCATGGGTCAAAGAGAAGTTCGGTTGGATCGAGTCTTGAGGTGTACACGCCCAGCAGGACGCGCAGTATGGGTGGTTTGCAGTCGTTGTTCGTTTCAAAGGCTATGAGTCGGGGTCATTGACGGTCTGAGGAGAATACTTGTTCGTCGGTTCGAGGTTGACGAAGAGCCTACCCCGGACCTTTGGTGGATTGAGCTTTCTGAAGCATAGCTGCAAAAGCATCCTCGAGGTGTTTATTCATCTCGCTTGGTGCGGTCGCAGGCTCAGCATTGGGCTTGGCGCTGCCGCCCTCCACCTTGGGACCCTTAGTAGGCTGGGTAGAGACTTCATCATCTTTGCCCTCAGGCTTTACTGCCTGCTGATGAGAAGGCGATTTGGCCTGGGGAGCTGTAGTGGCTTGCACCTTCGATGGCTTCGGCTGGCGCGGGGCGTAGCGGCTCTCGTTGCGCGCCTGACGCATCTCCTCCAAAAATTTGTCAAAGTTGCTGCTCGTCACGGTGAACATTTGCAAAATTAGCGCTTTCATGATGATCTGAGAGTGAACACGAAAGACTCACTTTGCAAGAGTCGCATTGGTGGCTTCGACTTCGGCCTGCTGCGCGGAATCCGTGATTTGCTCAGCTGGAACAGGATCGTCGGCCTGCTCGATCTTGGGCGATGGCTTGCGGTGCGCGAGAGAGGGAGAAAGAGCGCGCTCCTTGCCCTTGGCAGTCTTCGATGCCAGTTTCTTCTCTTGCGAACCAAATCCCTGACTACCCCTTAGCGCGCCATCGCGCTCATCACGAGGCTGTCCAACATGACCCATTTCGGACAAGCGCTTCTGCCAAGCATCTTGCATGTATGCGTTGTGTGCCGCAATCTCGTCAGTGATGGTGAGAGGTTCCGAATTGTTCAATTTCGCGCCCTTGTTGTGCAATGAATTGCTTTGAGGCTCATTCGGTACGTTTGGAGCAGCACTACCTAAGGCAATTTTTGTGGCTGTATGCTGCTTTCGTGCTTGTTCAGAGACGACTTGCTCCTCCCTGCCCGTGTGCTCGTGCTCCACCAGCGAGAAGCCATCGTCAGACACATTGCTGGGGGTAGAATTGTGCTCATGTTCCTCACGACCAAGTCCAAGCTTGGCCGCACGACGAGCACTGATCTCTCCAAAGGCACGTCCTTGAGCTTCCCCTTGAGCGCGGCAGGCCGCCATGATCTCTTCGTATGTGGCACCGCTGCCCTCGACGCTGGCGCCTTGCCTCCAAGGGGCATGAGCGACGGCAGAGGTGTCCGCCTCTTGTTGGGCAGGCTTGGCATCTGGACGCAGTGCTTGGGTCGTAGTTGGGACCGCCTCCACTTGTTCTGGTACCGTCGCGGCATGGGCAGTGGATGGAGCCGCTGACTGTGGTGGGGCAGGAGCTGAAATCGATGCTGACGCAGATGGCGGACGTGATCCATCACCACTAGTCACGCTACGGAGTTGAACAGCAGCTGCAATGTCTCCAGCTGCTGCAATGAGCACATCCATGCTGCGACGAAAGTCCTGCGCAGCCGAGGGCAAGCTCGCATTGCCGTTGAGAGCAGTCGAAGGACGAACCTCGTCGCGAAGAGCTCTGGTCCAGCCCATCACTTCGCTACAGAGTTTTGTGGACGTGCGGATGAGCTCTTGCACGGACTCTGTGACTGGGGCCACAGCCGGAGAGATAGCTGGTACGGTCGACGGAGCTTGAGCGGTACTAGTGGCTGGCAGAGGTACGGCTGGCTGACTAGCAGCAGGTGCTGCAGTAAGCGACGACGGCTTGAAGGTGGATGTGTCGCCTGCCGTCTTTGCGTGAGCAGCTCTGGACACTGGAGTGGAAACGTTTTGCGAGATAGTGTCGCGTTCGCTGCGCTTGCGAACATTTTCGAGCGCCTGTTTGAAGATTGGATCAGCCAAAAGAGCGTCACGAATTCCCGCGTTCATCTCAGCCTGCACAAGGTTGGTAGCAGGCTTGCTTGACGTCTTGGTGCTGCTTGTTGAAGCAGCACCAGCTGCTTGGGCAGAAGATGTTGCGCCGACGATTCGACGTGTCCCATTCGACTCGTACAAGCTGGTAGATGCAGGCCTCACTTGAGTAAGTGTAATGCCCCGCGCACTCACTCTAGAGCATACACTCACTCATTCACAGAGAGCGCAGAGGGTTTGCGGACGAGAACAACGGGTTGGTAATGGACCTTTTTAGGGTCTAGCGAGTAGTGACCAAAGCCACCTCCGGTACTGTACGGGGCTGCTATGTTGTGGACGTGAGGCCTTTCTCCGCGCAGAATCCTCTCGTAGGCATGAAAGTCGAGCCACTCTCTTCGGCTAGTGATGACCCTTTTGTCAGAAGTGGGGCCAGAAGCGTGGCGCACTTCCAGAGCGCATTTCTGCCACTCGGCGACGCCATACACTCCAGCAGCGATCTGTAGCATCAACTCAAAGTCTCGATGTAGGTGATCCTTGGGCACGCGAACCAAGCGAGAGTCGGAATCCGAAGCGCTGTGGACGCATTTTGCCCGAACGCTCAGATACGCCTCGTCGCCTGACCACTTGTAATCCTGAAAGACGTCTGCGGTCGACATGTTGCGTTGCGTCCCTTTGCTGCTGCTGGCAGCCATCCGAACCAGACGAAGTTTGAGGATCTGTATGGTGGATGGGTGAATGTGACGATTACTGATGCCGGTGTGAGAAATGGATCGAGCAGGGCTCACTACTCGTGACTGGATCCTCGACAAGAGGGATGTGAAATCGTGAATCCATCCGCGGGCCCCAAATGTGAGAGTCGCATTGCGCTACAACGCGCGTTGCTCAGCGCGCAGTCGCAGTCCATCCTGCTCAGCACCCATACGCCGTGC